GCGAGGCGATGGGTCGGGAAAGGGAGTTCAATAATGATGCAGCTTCATCCACGACTTTTCTGGCGATGTGACATCGCCTAGCCTAGACAGAACGCGACAGCGGGTGAATGGTGGTAAGGTTCGGGAAAGCAAGGTTCGTCAAATTTCGCAAAGATCGTGTTGTCCAATCGTGTTTTCCCGTTTTGGGCGGATATATGTAACCAGGCCAAGTCAGCCAGCTCGACGAAACAAATTCCCTGCTCACTGATGTTTTATGTGAACCGTTTCGACCCTTTACATTGTAACCAGGCACCCCGAAATTACTTGACCAACCGCAATCCAAAACCAACGCACCACCAGCTCTCCAACATATCCTCAAGCACCAGCATTTTCCACACAAATTAGCCGAATCACGAAACACTCCTTCCTGATATCAGACATGGCTTCCAAGGATGAACTGATGCCTCAACCCACGTTCGTGAAGGCTATCTTAACTTTCCTGGTTATTCTTCCAACAGCCTATGCACTCATTGTCGACAAGAACGAGGGTGTCTCAGGTTTGGCTTCAGATAAAACAATGAACTCTCTCACCATAACGTTCATTAAAACATCAGTCACACTCATTTGCGTCCTTTTCGGCAGGCTTTGTCTCATTTCAAGCTGTGCATCTTCTGGGAATCACCATAATCGATAATGAGTGCGCTTCCGCGTGTAATCTCCATGTAATGGAGCTCAGCAATGAAAAGTTTCTCCAGGAACTGGCACTTTCGTCGGATTATTATGCCGAAGTACCATTGATCGACTTGCAGCGGGGAATAGAGTATGAAGCAAGCATCACGTGCGGCGACGTCAGCTGCTTATCAGGTCAACCCGCTGTTGTGTAAAATGCTTCAAATCACCAGTGCGTCTCTTCACCTCTTATTCTCGTGGCAGATCCCCCGAAGATTGTATTTCAGTCATCTGATGAGGAGATTTCACACATCGGAAACATGACAATCAAGCTGAAAGGGAAAAACGTTCCACTCATTCAGGCAGAAATCGCAGCAGAGCATTCATCACCAGTATCACTTCAGCAGGAGGCACTACCAAGTGTAACGGAGGACTTTCCTGAAACAAACTGTAGCTGCTCAGCTAGTGTTGAAGAGAGCAATGTGAATCCACAAAGGTTTTCACGCTGGGCGTTTCCAGCTGTTGGATTAAGTGCACTATTTTTGGCGTCAGTATTGATGCTTCCATGTTAACCATCTGGGCAACGTATCAGGAAACAAGGCACATCTGAAGACCTGAAGAGAATTTTGTGTGTTCAGATTCCCAATAAGATGGGTGTTCTATTCTCAGCTGTTGGATTAGCTGCACTCTTTCTGGAATGGACCAGGCCCGATTCGATCTGATGTCAAGAACGTCATATTTCAGGACCACACTTCAATTCACGCAAACGGTTTTCATATAGACCACACTACGGTATTGGAATTTTGCAATGCCTTACACACAAATACCTTACTCTGCAGGACAGGACGTTTTCAAAATATTCAGCAGCATAATCAGCTGGCATCAGCAAGCAAGCGCCATTGAAGTTCCAACTTCAAATAACCATGCTTTGTGTGATGGAGCTGGAAAATATCAACAATGCGTTTGTTCTTCAGCGCGTCACACAAAGGAATTTCCACGGAACCCACCATCTTCTCTGCAGAACCAACCAGCATTGCTTCTGGACTCCTGCTCCAGACTTCGATCAGCAGTTTTTCAGAAACTGGTGGTTGATCAAGCAGAAATTCAAACGATTCTTCCCACTGTGGGTTCCCCCTACCTTCAGCAACCTGCAAGCATAAAATTCGCCATACTCGAAGAAACAGTTTTGATGGCAAGGCAGCTCTCCAGGGACAGAGATTGGAAAATCACGAGCTGATAACGACCACGGGAAACTCACCTTGGTCACTCGCTCCTCTCCTGCAAGAAACACCTTGCACAGAAACTGAGCTTCGTCAGGGTTTCTCCCCAGCCAACTGCTTGCATCTAGATCCACACCTCTCCACACAGCCACTTCCAGCAAGCCAGGCCCATCCGCATGAAGTTGCAGGCGCGGTTGCATTCCAGGTCTTGCGAAGGTCGCATCTTCTGATAAAAGCTTTCGCGGCATTGTCTCGCTTTGCAGGACTCTGAAGGTTGCAATGAGTTCCAGCTCACCACATGGTTGGCCCCGGCGGCTCCAAAGCCCAAGCGTGAAGTGCTGCAGAAGGAATTGACCACAAAAAAAAAGACCACTCGTAAGTAACTTCTGTGTCTGATCAATTCTGATCAATACATCATCACCCTTTGCTAACCCGACAAACTGATCAGGAGTTGTTCTGCACAGGCATTTAACTTCTCGATTTTCGCGCTTCAAAAAAACATGAAATACCTGCGAAATTCCTGGCTGCAGATTGATGACGTGAAGAACACAAGAGCCGATCAAACTGTCCACCAGCAGTGCTGTGGCATCGTGGACCTCAAATGTCAGGGCATCCGTCTCATGATCCATCACAGGCAGACGAATCACCTCACGCCACACAGGTTCACAAGTGTAGGATTCAGTGGCAGTGGACACGGAACGACTTGGATCAATGTAAGCCTGCACACACACACACACACACACACACACACACACACACACACATACACACACATACACACACACACACAGTTTCATAAGACTTCACTCGTTGCAACTAACAAGCTTTCAATCCACAGACGCACCTTGACATATGGTGATGGATACAGAATATTCTGTGCCAGGAGAAGTCCTGTTTGTGTTAACTCTGTGGCCTCCACTACCTCCACTGTCACGGTACCAACTGCTCGCCTGGTTCTACCTGATGACACTGCTGCTGCCTTTGTGCGGAGTGTGAAGCGCCTTGGCCATAGCATGTGATCTGCAATAGCGGATTGAATCTTCTGGTGCAAGAGGCCGGAGATGCCAGGAAGTGACATGAGGTCAAACCCCGCATAGGTGGAAAGACAGAAGTCCAGCTCCGGCTGCATCAGGTCATGAAGTACGATACGTGGTAATGACAGGAGTCAGCCTGGCTTCTCGAGTGGACGCTCATGAGTCTGCGAAGTGGTTACGAATTCTTGATGTCTTACGTTTTCGAGGAAAGAAAAGTGGACGTTCCCAAAGCAAGGGAACCTGGGAACCAATGGAGCGAACGACACGCGCAAGACTGCCCTCCCCACGAATTGAGAGAGGTGCAAGGTTAATGAGCAGTCATCGCCTTCTTCAACTGCTTGAAGTCTCAGCACACTCCCTCGCAAAGTCAAAATCGCCCTTGCATTGGAGTTCGTGGCGAGGTGCACCTTGAGATCAAGCACGGCTGCAGACTCATGAGATTCAACCATCTGCTTCCCTCGGTGAGCGATAAGGGATGAAAGGAAAGGGGGGATGGGGAAAAGGTTGGCTGGACAGGAATAGTAAAAAGTTCTGTTGAAGGTCCAACCCAGAGTGGACGTGACATAACCTTTTTATCCTGCCTATTAGGCGACCCAACGCTCAAACCCATCACCGCGCACCTTGACATACTCCACTACTAGTGGGAAGGACCCGAATGAAAAGTCTTCGATTTGAAGCAGGTCGTCCAGAAATCGTTTATGCCTGCAAATGGCCTGGTGGGAAGAGACAAGATCGCATCATCTTTTGCTGGTGCCTTCTGAACATGCCAAAACTTCGAAGTAAGTGTGAAGTGATCGCGCTTGCATGTAGCCGACACAAGCCTAGAGTTGAGTTCCTCAATTTCATGTAAGTGCAACAGGAGCTGGGTATCTGGAAGCGGGACTCACCGGCCACAGCTTTTCCACGAAGACTTTGCTGAGTGCAGGGTTCAGCACATGCCAGAATCGCGCAATCACGTGGTTCAGCCAGCGAGCCGGTTCCAAGCTAGGGTCTTTCACCCAGCCTGGCAGAGAGCCTCGAAGTCGATCCAGGTGATCCTTGTCTGTCACTGCTAGCACCCGGCGGACCTGCAGCAAGAGCAGGTAAGCAGTGCAATTGATACGAGAAGGATGGGACATTCATGTAGCATCTGATTTTCCTTGTGAGTGTCCTTCATTTCAAATCAACTTGATTGATTTACTTGAGGAGTGCTGACTTCAAACGATCGTCGCTTGTCCAGAGCCCTACATCCGATCACGAGAGAAGCGGCCAGTCCAATGGAGAAGCCAAGAGCATCGACCAGCAGCCCCAGAGTAAAACTGCGCAGCGACGGCCAGAGCAGCTCCGCCACCTTGCGGCCAAGCAGAGAGCCCAGGGAGGTCAGCCAGAAAACTCTCTTTCTTTTTGTTTTGGTCCCCGACTGTGGTTCCCGCAGTTGGTCCTGTTCCTGCTCTGAGGGTAGTTTTGCTGTTGCGGGGCCATGCGAAGACGGCAGGGAAGATTGACGGTGGGCTTATTTAAAGCCATGGACACCACACTCGGCGGCATATCTACGGACATGGCCGTCGGACCTGGAGCGGGTTCTGCGGCCTGAGGCGCGACAGTCTCTCCAGCGGGTCCTACGGCAATGCCTGCGGCGGGACCTGAAGTAAGCTCTGCTGGCTCAGCCATGGCCGTCGCGGTTGTCTAGGGAGGGTGAACGTTGGTGGCAGCGAAAACATGGGGATTGGATTGGAAGTGGCATATCCGTGGATTGAATGCTAGCAGTCAAGACGACACGGCACAACGTCATCCTTGCCGAATGGCGCGACGTGATGGTGGAAGTGGTGTGGGGGGCGGGGAGAGTGATGATTGGAGCAATTTTGTTCAATTTTGTGAGTACGGTACAGTTCATGTGTACGATTGGGCTCTGCCTAGGTATTCTTCTCTTACCGCGCGTGCTTACATCGAGACCCACTTTTCTGCAGAAGCATGCTCCTTTCACATCTTTGTGTGAATGGTAGATTTCAGTAGTACGCGCATCGCAGTGAAGGCGCACCAGCAGCCACCTGCCTCTCCATCGTGTGCGCTCATTCATGAAAAATTTTAATTTCGAGTCACCGCCTTAGTCCGTCTCACAATGGATCTGCTAACAGGAGCGCCGATGACGCGGGGCGGGTCAGGGTACCAGCGCAGCAGCATGGAGCGGTCGATGCTAGGGGAGAGCCTCCGTGAGCGCATGTGCCCCGCGCTTATGGTGCTCTCCACCGCCGCCGCTGAGTCTGCTTGCCAGAAGAACGCGCTGAGCTTCGTCGACCTGCTCCGCCCGCACTGCGAGTTTTCCAACCTCAACGGTGAGACGTCGCTGTGATTCGGTGCACGCTAACGTGCTTTTCATGTCGACGATGACTGGCATCCTCCTCCCTTCGACTGTATCCTGACTGCGCCGACGTTGTTAACATTCTACGCCCCATCAGCCCTCATCCACGTCTCACTCCTCGTTTCCCTTTCCTGTCGCGCTCCCTCTTCCTCCTCTCTCGCCACCTCTCCTGCAGTGCCTGTGCGCACGGCGGGTGAGCATTCGTACCGCCTGCACGACTTTCGCGTGCGAGTATTCTATGCTAGCGAAATCCAGCAACCGTCTCAAGAGGTAATTGGGGGAATAGGAATGCACATTCGCAGCCTTATTTTTGTCTAATCGTAATATGCTAATTTTTATGTGCGCTATGGTGGGGCGTGAGCAGGCAGCAGAAGATTTCTGTGTGCGCTTTGTGACAAACGCGAGTGAGGCGGCAGATGCAGAGCTGATGGGGGCAGACCCGAGCGACCTCAACTCCATCATTGGCAGTGAGTTGACGTGACGGGGGGACGTGACCTTTAGAGTCGTACCCAAGAGCATGACGGGAAGAAGGGAGTTATGGATGGGGGATTGTGTGTGTGAGTTAAGAGGGGGCAATCATGCGCAGCAGCAAGCACTGGCCTTACCCAATCTGAATTTTGAAGCATGCTGAGAACACACATACGAAGTAGAGCTGAGCCACTTTTACGATGCATTCCTTTGCACTGCATCCGGATGTCTCTCGCTTCTCCTCTCTACTCCACCCTCTCATCCCCAACGCCCCATCCTCTTCCCCAAATTCATTCAATACAGTAGAACCTTAGTGTAGAGTCTGGGCAAGAGCGTGTGCTATGCTGTTTTATCCCTCCCTTACTGCTCTCTTCCCGTTTGGCTGTTTTCCCCCTTTCACCCTGCATCCTCGTTTCTTTTCCCCCCACTTTTCCTCTCAGTGGCCAATGCGGAGAACCGGACTTGCTGGTTTCAGCGCTTTACCGACGAGTATATGCGCACGCTCGTCTTTTCTGACCACGAGACCTTTGATCATCCCATTGCGTGTAAGCTCCCTTAATGTCTAGAAAGGCACATCTCCGTTTGCTTGCGCTCTTATCTTTCTGCGTCCTTGTCTCTGTTTGCCAAACTCCTTCGCTTTCACGACAAACACAAATCCATCTGTCTTCCAACTCACGATCCCGCAAATGCTCCACTTCTAAATCTGCTCACCACCCCAGGTCTGCTGGTCGCCTCCACGTCAGAGCCCTTCCCTGTGCGTGCGTTGCGTGAGCTCATGACTCCCGAGCGCCTCCCCGCACTCTACCGCGATGGCACCATGGACCCCAAGCTGCACCTGCACTACCTCCTCCTGCACGATTGCTCTTCCTTGGGCCCTCCCTCCGCCTCCTCTCAAGTCGAACTGACTATAGCCGAGATGCGTGCTGCTTTTGGCAGCGCTGTCTGCCGTTTGTTGCCTATCAACTCTGCCGCTGCTCCCAGCCAGTCTCGGCCTGACATCTGGACCAAGCACCGTCCTGTCCCTGTTGGAGGGGCCCAAACGCCTCCTCCTGCTGGCACTGCGGTAAGGAAGGCTCGTGGTATCGGCTTTGGGCTAACCACAGTGTCCTGATCTTGCTCTCCTCTCCCGTATCCTCTCATCTCCCCTTTCCAAAATCCCTTCGCTCTCTCACCCTCCTCCTCTCCACCCCACCCCCCCCCTTTTCTCCCCTACCTCCTCCAGTTGCCACAGAGCCCCTCAGGCCTGCCTGTGTCTGGGGCGGTGGGGCAGTATATGAGTGAGGCGGACGTGAGGGAGGTGGCGGACATGATGATGGAGCTCAGTGTGAAGCACCTCGTGCCCCACCTCGAGCGAAAGGCGCGAGACCTCAACCAGCAGGTCTGTGGACGAACTTGATCCTGCAGTTGGGCACCAAGCAAGTTGTGGTGGCTTCCTCACGGTTCATCTTCCTCCACTTCAATTCAATTCCTTTTTTGTCGGGGCTTGCATTACATCTGAACGCGAGCAAGCAACTCTGTGTAAATGTGTGGACATGTGCACATGTATGTTTGGGGGTTTTTGTGGGTGCTTCTGAGTGAATTTTTGCATCCATGATCATGAATGCTGCAGATCTCAGCCAGTCGTCGTGGGCTTCGCAACCAGATCAAGAACTTGTGGTTTGGCAAGGGGAAGGAAGAGACAGCAGACGCCACACCTGGCGTGTAAGCACCTTTCGTTTCCGTGTCCCTTCCTAGGCTTGACCACGAGGCGAACATGTCACCTGGGCGAACCGAACAGTGTTCAGTTTGCCGAGAACACTTTCTGGAAAAGTGCTGTTCGCCTGTTCGCCCTTGGGGCCGAACACTTAGGGTGTTCGCCCAAGCATGAACATGTTCTTGGCGAACATGTTCGTGCTCGCATTCTCAGCAGCTTTTGATATAATCACATCAACCAGTTTAGTGGAACTCGGAGTTCCTGGTGTGTGATGTTTAGGTTTCCCGCTTGTTTCTTCCCCAAAACGACGTCAATGTTAATGGCACCAAACTTAAACTAGCCTAGAATAAAAGAAAAAGGTTGCGCCAACCCTATAAGTTAGAGTTTAGGGAACGAGTAGGGCTGGCGCTAAGAGTCCAGGCTGTGGTGGGTGTCTTAGCTTGAAATCCCACTAAAAAACAAGGTCGACAAGTGAGTCCGTCGACTTAAAAAAGGGGTTGCAGGATCTTTCGGACGAACATGTCTGTGTTCGCCGCGGCTCGGGAAGTCGCGACGAATCGAACACGAACACGTTCGGGCGAACGCCAAACATGTTAGCCCCGAACACTTTCGGCCCAAAAAAATCAAGTGTTCAGTTCGCCGCGAAAGTGTTAGGCGAACCGAACACATGTTCACCTGGATGCTCAACCCTATCCCTTCCATGCCGTGGCCCGTTTGTCACTCTGTCAAGTCCCCCACGCACTCTCCTTTCCTATTCGCATCCTCGTTTTCTGTGAACTTCAGTTACTCCCTAGCCACCCTCCCTCTTGCCCGTTCTCCCACTCACTCCCTCATCTATCCCTCCCCTTCTCACACCCCTTCATTGCCCTCTCTCAGCTACACCTACCGCTCCCCTGAGTCTCAGATCCGCCAGCTGGCGGACGCAGCCATGATGCTGCAGGACTTCCAACTGGCATTGGACAACTACCGGCTCGTGGCGGCAGACTACCGCAGAGACAAGGCGTGGAAGCACTATGCTGGGGCGCAGGTCAGTCTCTTGTGAAACACTGGTTCTTGAGGAGTTTGATGAATGTGAAGTGCGCCAATTGTGACTTCTATGCATATCGTCCTTGGTCATGCTCTGATTTCTTTCAGGCCCCCATCGCCTGGTTTTGAGTTTTTTTACTGCTATTGCAGCAAGTTGCATCTTTGTGTGCCTTTGTCATTTGTTTTCCCCATGTGTGCCATGGGTGTCAATGTCCGTGTGCATGTTTGTGCATGCATGCGTGCATGTATATGTGCGCAATTGATTCTGCGATATTGTGGGTGTATGCATTTGAGTTAGCATTTGTGTGTATGCTTGTGTACATGATGGGGGATTGGGATGAGTGGACCTTCACGTTTGTTCCAGGAAATGGTGGCAGTCTCACTCTTTCTATTGGAGATTTCTCGAAGGGAGATGGAGCAGTGCATGGAGAGCGCTTACGCCTCATACCAGGTATCTCACTCACTGAAGAAATCCAGGTGCATTACTGCTCATGTGATCTGTACCTCGCAGTTTTTTGTACTCCTTTCCCTCCCCTCCCTCCCCCCCTCCCTCCCTCCCTCCCTCCCTCCCTCCCTCCCTCCCTCCCTCCCTTCCCTCCCCTCCTCTCTTCTCTTCTGTTTCCGTTTCCTCCTCCATCAACTTTGTCTTTCCGATATCTTCCATCCTCTCTAATGTTCCTCCATCTTCTCCCATCCCTATCAGCGATGTGGCCCTTTGGGAGCTCGCTTTGCCCTCAGAACAGTCTTTTGGATGATCGGCATGTTCAAGGCTAAGGGAAACTTCCGAGACGCTGCACTCACTCTCATGCGTGCATCTTTGGAAGTAGGTTCTGTTTTTCCATATTTTTCTCGAGATGCGGATGCTTTTTCTTCTTTATTTTGCGGTAGATTCTGTTTCTGAGAAGAAATCGAAACTTTTACCTGCAGTTCTGCTTCCCGCATTCCACTGGCCTAACCCACATAAGGCAACCTAATGTTGCCGCCACCACCCTTGTAACAGCTCTTGTCTCACCTCCTCCTCTCCATCGCCTCCCCCTCCTCCCTGAACCCCCCTCCCCCACTCTCTCTCCATTGCAGGAGAGTGGAGTGAAGGCAGCAGTGCTGTTGGAGCAGGCAGCGGTCTGCTTTGTGCGGGTGACGCCTCCCATGCTGCGCAAGTACGGCTTCCACATGGTGCTTGCAGGCAACCGATACAACCTCGCCTCCCAGGTGAACATCTGGAATTCAACTTCGCTTGCCGTGCAAGCATATTCAAACGAGTTCTGTCTGTGATGACGGTGCTGTCTGCTATGCATACTGGTTCCATGCGGCTTGCATGCATGACGCACATCTTGGAAAGCTGACCAATCTTATTTGCTGTGCTCATCGCACTTGATTTTCGGGCACAATTTTCTGCCTTCTCCTGTGCACTTAACCTTCTCTGTTTCTCTTTCTGCTCGTGTGCCATCAGCGAAAGCATGCCATGCGGGCATATAAGTGTGTGGAGGGCGTGTATCGTGGCAAGGGCTGGAACTTTATCTTGGACCATTGCAACTTCACACTTGGCAGGTATGGCAGCACAAGCCCACAGATGAAGCATGTCTATCAGTATCAGGCTCTGAGTGCAAGTTGTTGTTTGACACTAAAGCTGGTTACTTGCATGAATTTGAACCCATTCGCTTGTCTTTCCTCTCTGCTCTCTAATCTTTTTCCTACACTCTCCTTTGTCATTCTCTTGCCTTCCTCCCCTCCTCTCCCCCCCTCTCTCTGTGTAGGCTTTCAGCATATCTCGGCAGCTACAACGGGGCGGTGGTGTATTTTGTCCGCTTGCTGGCTTGTGCCCACCAGTCTGCCGCCATGCAAGCCACCTTCCTGAGAGAGTTCCTCTATGTGGTGCAGGTAGGCACTCAGGGTGGTGTCAGCAGAGCCAGTGAGACACAGGTACATGGTTCAGGTACATGTGGTGCGGTGCAGTTAAATGGCTGAAGCAGATGCATTGGAGGAACCTGTTAACCAAGTGTGGTGCAAGGTAGATGCAGTTTCATTTAAGAGTGAATAGCTTTTCCTTCCACATCCTCCCTCTCGAATCGTTTCTGCATCACTTCATCTTCATTCTATCAGGCAGTGCAATCAAAGGACAAGCAGGGTGCGTTGGAGCTGCCTCTGCCACACGTCAACACACAGAAGGTTTACGTCCACTTCGAAGACCATCGCATCTTCGCCTCCCCTACCGCTGTAAGCCTGATCTCCACGATTCATCCGTGCAACCTTCCTGGCCTGGTGTTTTAGATGGTGTTCCTAACACCCTGCTAACCTGATTATTTGCCCCTACAGGCCACCCTTGTCGGACCTTCTGGTGACCTTTATTAGCCCGTTTCCCTAATTTGCTACACGTTTAACCACACCAGTCTTTTCTTGCTTATCCAAAACCACCTACCCTAGCCCCACACATGGCATTCTATGGCCCCTCCAAACCTACTCTATCCCGCTCGCGACCCTACTGACGTGTACGCCTCCTGTTTTAATCACTACCGCCACTGACACCGAACGGCCCTATTCTTAATCCGTTCACCAGGAGGAGCTCCCAGAGTCTTTTTGGTCGGCGCTGGAGGAGGGGGTGGTGCCACCAGCAGCAGCCATGGTGGTGCCCACGTGGCTGGATGCGCCCTCCAAGACACGGGCAGGGGCGCATGACACCATCGCCACCAACACTTGTGTCGCAGGGGGTGCGTGCTCCTTTGTTTTTTCGGCTGTGTATATGCTGGGCTCCCTGCATAGACGTTATCATCAGCTATCTTCATTGCCTCACTCATCGATATTTGGGCTGTTCATTCATTTTTGGGGGTCATTGCGCCTTGCCTTCACTCTTCCATCTTAACCTTTCAGAGGAGATCGGAGTGGACGTGGAGTTCTGGAATCCACTTCAGATCGCCCTCCAGATATCTGGCGTGCATCTGCTCTGCCACCACTACGACACCTCCTCCACCACCACCAGCTCCACCACTAGCACCAGCACTGCAGCAGCCAATGCCCCATCCTCCCCAACCTCTGCCTTGGCCGCATCACATGCAGCAGTGCCATCTGCATCACCCTCTGCCGCTGGTGACCTTGCTGATGCTTCCCCCTCTAAACACAGCGGGCCCACATCACCAAATGCTGTAGCTAAAGACGGATCAGGTGGGCTACTGTCAACTCTTACAATCCACCAGACATGATGCCAATTGTCTGTCCCATGATCTTACGTGTTACCAAGCCAACCAATGGTGACATAAAGTTCCATGCTGTTCGCTAGGTGAATCAGGACATCCGCATCGGACATCTTTGCACTCTGAACATACCCCTGCTGTTTCGGTGAATTAACTTTGTTTCTCTGTCCTCTGTGCATGTCAAACTCCCACCCTCTCAGGGATGGTGCGTGCCATAAGCTCTCCAGTTCTGGATCAAGCAGAGAGCTCAGAGTCGCTATGGGAGAGCTCTGGGCATGACGACGGGAGGTGAGGAGATGCACATAGCCTTTTTCTCTTCCTGTTGACTGTGTCAAGTGCTCCCCACTCGTTGATCTTATGCTTTCATAATTTTCGCACAACCACCACCTTGTCAAAATTAATGCGTCCCTTTCTCCCTCCTCTTTCTTGCGGTTTCACCCTTTCAACCCCACCTTCACTGGCCTCTTTACGGCTCCGTCCATTCTTTCGCCCACAGTGCATCTCGTAAGAGTCAATCTCAGAGCGACCTTGCTGCAGACGACCCTTCTCTCTTCCTGCACCCTCTTGCTGATACCACCATGGCTGGTGAGGGCGAAGGCAGTGGCGCCAGGGGCACAGGCAAGGGTGGAGAGGAAGCCGAAAAGCATTCTCTTGCCAAGGGAACAGAAGGAAGCAATCTGCAACAGCAGGGCAGTGGGGCTGCTAATGAGTCAGCACTAGCTGGAGGAGCAGATAAAGGGGGGAGAAAGCAGTCAGGAAGGGTGGAAGTGGGGAAGGAGGAGAAGGGCAAGGAGGCCAACATGCAGAGTGCCAGTGCAGTGGTGGCTATAGCTGCTGGTGGAGTGACCGAGCCGTATGTGGCTGAGAAGACTGCCTTCGCCTTGAAGCCGGGTGAACGAATCACAGTAAGTGCCTGCCTGTCAGTTATTGCTCCTCTATCCATACGCAATGCAATACCCTTCTGCCATTCTCCACCCCGTTACTTGTCCAGCTTCTTTTCTCCTCCCTTCATCCTTACACCCTTCTCCCCAACAGTCTCCCTCCTATGTGTTTCATGTCTACCTCAACCTACCCTTACCTCCTATATGCTATGCTGGACCTACCTCCAAACCCCTACACGCCGCCACATCCATCCGCTCCCACCCATTCAACTCTTAGGTGCGTCTGAAGGTGCGGCCATGCCGTGTGGGGGTGCTGCACATATTCGGTGTGGAGTGGGCCATCAGCAGCGAAGGCCGCACGGCTGTCAGCCGCTCTCTCTTTGACATCAAGGCGCCTCCCAAGCGCAAGGGCAAGCCATCACGCCAACTGCCCACCCACCAGCGCCTGCACTTTCATGTCATTCCGGTGAGATGCGCTGAGTCACTGAGTCATTCTGTAGCATCCCTTTCTGTACGCAAGGGTGCCCAACTTTTCAGTTTTGCTGTGCTGTTCTTGTGAGGTGCTATTGCAGGCGTGAATATTTTGTGCGTTCTACATAAACGGAACGTGCACTCATATTTGCTCCCATCCCGTATGCTTGTGCTCGTATATATGCCCATGCCCATACTCATGCCCATGCCCCCTGCATGCAAGCAGGAGATGCCACGAGTGCAGGCAGAGCTAGAGGGTATGCCAGAGGAGGCAGTGGAGGGGCAGCTGTACCGCTTGCAACTCAAGCTCACCAACACATCACATGTGCCACTTAAGGTGAGGCTGCTGGTTGGTTCTCATACATCCCTAGTGCGGCCAACCTGCCTTTGGATCTGTGAGGCACGTTGCTTTTTTATGTCTGCTTTTGCCCTCTCTACCTTACCCTCTTTTGCCACCTGGCCGTCACCCGACGTTGCTTTTTCCCATCTGCTTTTGCCCCTTATACCTTAACCTCTTTTCCATCAAACCTTTCTCGCTTTTTCCTTTCCAATGTTTCAGTCGGTTACAAGTCACCCTCACGTTTATTCCTTGTCGACTTACACAGCCTACTTCTCCTCTTTCTTCCCATCCCTTCCTCCCCTTCCATTTCACCCTATCAGCGCCTAAAGCTGCGCACATCCCACCCAGCCTGCCTGCTCCTGGGCGACCCTGCAGACCTCAATGCCCGCCTGCCTGCGTGCCTGGAGCAGCAGAACTTGGATGAGGAGGAAGGCACGGGCAAGGATGTGGGTGGAGGCCAGGGGACTCAAAGAACCAGTGGCGGTGGTGGAGGGAGAAAGGGGGGTGGAGGAGGGGGTGGGGTGGTGGAGGCAGAGGGAGGGTTGCCTGTGGAGCGCAGTAGGAGCGCGACAGACCCTCAGGGAGATCACGGCAGCATGAAGAACGGCTTCATCTTCTCCTTCCCTTCCGTACGCTCCCGTCTGTTCACTCTTGATGCGCAGAAAAAACTCTCGTGTACTTTTATTTTTTCTCTAGACTCTTCTTTTTTTTTTCCCAATGTTTAGCTGTGAGGGAGGCAATGTGAGGGGGAGGTGAGCAGTGATGTGAGAGGAGTCTGTGAGGTGGGGCAAAGTGATGGAGGGCGGATGTGATAAGGAGCCGATGTGTTGGGGGAACGATGTGAGGGGATGTGATGTGAGGGGAGGTGATGTGAGGGGAGGCGATGTGAGGGGAGGCGATGTGAGGGGAGGTGATGTGAGGGGAGGTGATGTGAGGGGAGGTGATGTGAGGGGAGGCGATGTGAGGGGAGGCGATGTGAGGGGAGGTGGTGTGAGGGGAGGTGATGTGAGGGGAGGTGATGTGAGGGGAGGTGATGTGAGGGGAGGTGATGTGAGGGGAGGTGATGTGAGGGGAGGCGATGTGAGGGGAGGTGATGTGAGGGGAGGCGATGTGAGGGGAGGCGATGTGAGGGGAGGTGGTGTGAGGGGAGGTGATGTGAGGGGAGGTGATGTGAGGGGAGGTGATGTGAGGGGAGGCGATGTGAGGGGAGGCGATGTGAGGGGAGGTGATGTGAGGGGAGGTGATGTGAGGGGAGGTGATGTGAGGGGAGGTGATGTGAGGGGAGGCGATGTGAGGGGAGGCGATGTGAGGGGAGGTGATGTGAGGGGAGGTGATGTGAGGGGAGGCGATGTGAGGGGAGGCGATGTGAGGGGAGGTGGTGTGAGGGGAGGTGATGTGAGGGGAGGTGATGTGAGGGGAGGCGATGTGAGGGGAGGCGATGTGAGGGGAGGCGATGTGAGGGGAGGCGATGTGAGGGGAGGTGGTGTGAGGGGAGGTGATGTGAGGGGAGGCGATGTGAGGGGAGGCGATGTGAGGGGAGGCGATGTGAGGGGAGGTGATGTGAGGGGAGGTGATGTGAGGGGAGGTGATGTGAGGGGAGGCGATGTGAGGGGAGGCGATGTGAGGGGAGGTGATGTGAGGGGAGGCGATATGAGGGGAGGTGGTGTGAGGGGAGGTGATGTGAGGGGAGGTGATGTGAGGGGAGGTGATGTGAGGGGAGGTGATGTGAGGGGAGGTGATGTGAGGGGAGGTGATGTGAGGGGAGGTGATGTGAGGGGAGGTGATGTGAGGGGAGGCGATGTGAGGGGAGGCGATGTGAGGGGAGGCGATGTGAGGGGAGGCGATGTGAGGGGAGGTGGTGTGAGGGGAGGTGATGTGAGGGGAGGTGATGTGAGGGGAGGTGATGTGAGGGGAGGTGATGTGAGGGGAGGTGATGTGAGGGGAGGTGATGTGAGGGGAGGTGATGTGAGGGGAGGTGATGTGAGGGGAGGTGATGTGAGGGGAGGTGATGTGAGGGGAGGTGATGTGAGGGGAGGTGATGTGAGGGGAGGTGATGTGAGGGGAGGTGATGTGAGGGGAGGCGATGTGAGGGGAGGTGGTGTGAGGGGAGGCGATGTGAGGGGAGGCGATGTGAGGGGAGGTGATGTGAGGGGAGGTGATGTGAGGGGAGGTGATGTGAGGGGAGGTGATGTGAGGGGAGGCGATGTGAGGGGAGGCGATGTGAGGGGAGGTGATGTGAGGGGAGGCGATGTGAGGGGAGGCGATGTGAGGGGAGGTGATGTGAGGGGAGGCGATGTGAGGGGAGGTGATGTGAGGGGAGGCGGTGTGAGGGGAGGTGCTGTGAGGGGAGGCGATGTGAGGGGAGGCGATGTGAGGGGAGGCGATATGAGGGGAGGTGGTGTGAGGGGAGGTGATGTGAGGGGAGGTGATGTGAGGGGAGGTGATGTGAGGGGAGGCGATGTGAGGGGAGGTGATGTGAGGGGAGGTGATGTGAGGGGAGGTGATGTGAGGGGAGGTGATGTGAGGGGAGGTGATGTGAGGGGAGGCGATGTGAGGGGAGGTGATGTGAGGGGAGGCGATGTGAGGGGAGGTGATGTGAGGGGAGGTGGTGTGAGGGGAGGTGATGTGAGGGGAGGTGATGTGAGGGGAGGCGATGTGAGGGGAGGCGATGTGAGGGGAGGTGATGTGAGGGGAGGTGATGTGAGGGGAGGTGATGTGAGGGGAGGTGATGTGAGGGGAGGCGATGTGAGGGGAGGCGATGTGAGGGGAGGTGATGTGAGGGGAGGCGATGTGAGGGGAGGTGATGTGAGGGGAGGCGATGTGAGGGGAGGTGGTGTGAGGGGAGGTGATGTGAGGGGAGGTGATGTGAGGGGAGGTGATGTGAGGGGAGGCGATGTGAGGGGAGGTGATGTGAGGGGAGGCGATGTGAGGGGAGGTGGTGTGAGGGGAGGTGATGTGAGGGGAGGTGATGTGAGGGGAGGTGATGTGAGGGGAGGCGATGTGAGGGGAGGTGATGTGAGGGGAGGCGATGTGAGGGGAGGTGGTGTGAGGGGAGGTGATGTGAGGGGAGGTGATGTGAGGGGAGGTGATGTGAGGGGAGGCGATGTGAGGGGAGGTGATGTGAGGGGAGGTGATGTGAGGGGAGGTTATGTGAGGGGAGGTGATGTGAGGGGAGGCGATGTGAGGGGAGGTGATGTGAGGGGAGGCGATGTGAGGGGAGGTGGTGTGAGGGGAGGTGATGTGAGGGGAGGTGATGTGAGGGGAGGTGATGTGAGGGGAGGTGATGTGAGGGGAGGTGATGTGAGGGGAGGTGATGTGAGGGGAGGTGATGTGAGGGGAGGTGATGTGAGGGGAGGTGATGTGAGGGGAGGTGATGTGAGGGAAGGCGATGTGAGGGGAGGCGATGTGAGGGGAGGCGATGTGAGGGGAGGCGATGTGAGGGGAGGCGGTGTGAGGGGAGGCGATGTGAGGGGAGGCGATGTGAGGGGAGGTGATGTGAGGGGAGGTGATGTGAGGGGAGGTGATGTGAGGGGAGGTGATGTGAGGGGAGGTGATGTGAGGGGAGGTGATGTGAGGGGAGGCGATGTGAGGGGAGGCGATGTGAGGGGAGGCGATGTGAGGGGAGGTGATGTGAGGGGAGGCGATGTGAGGGGAGGCGATGTGAGGGGAGGTGATGTGAGGGGAGGTGATGTGAGGGGAGGCGATGTGAGGGGAGGCGATGTGAGGGGAGGTGATGTGAGGGGAGGCGATGTGAGGGGAGGTGATGTGAGGGGAGGTGATGTGAGGGGAGGTGATGTGAGGGGAGGTGATGTGAGGGGAGGTGATGTGAGGGGAGGCGATGTGAGGGGAGGCGATGTGAGGGGAGGCGATGTGAGGGGAGGCGATGTGAGGGGAGGCGATGTGAGGGGAGGTGGTGTGAGGGGAGGTGATGTGAGGGGAGGTGATGTGAGGGGAGGTGATGTGAGGGGAGGTGATGTGAGGGGAGGTGATGTGAGGGGAGGTGATGTGAGGGGAGGCGATGTGAGGGGAGGCGATGTGAGGGGAGGCGATGTGAGGGGAGGCGATGTGAGGGGAGGCGATGTGAGGGGAGGCGATGTGAGGGGAGGCGGTGTGAGGGGAGGCGATGTGAGGGGAGGCGATGTGAGGGGAGGTGATGTGAGGGGAGGTGATGTGAGGGGAGGTGATGTGAGGGGAGGTGATGTGAGGGGAGGTGATGTGAGGGGAGGTGATGTGAGGGGAGGCGATGTGAGGGGAGGCGATGTGAGGGGAGGCGATGTGAGGGGAGGCGATGTGAGGGGAGGCGATGTGAGGGGAGGCGATGTGAGGGGAGGTGATGTGAGGGGAGGTGATGTGAGGGGAGGCGATGTGAGGGGAGGCGATGTGAGGGGAGGCGATGTGAGGGGAGGCGATGTGAGGGGAGGCGATGTGAGGGGAGGCGATGTGAGGGGAGGCGATGTAAGGGGAGGTGATGTGAGGGGAGGCGATGTGAGGGGAGGCGATGTGAGGGGAGGCGATGTGAGGGGAGGTGATGTGAGGGGAGGTGATGTGAGGGGAGGTGATGTGAGGGGAGGTGATGTGAGGGGAGGTGATGTGAGGGGAGGCGATGTGAGGGGAGGCGATGTGAGGGGAGGTGATGTGAGGGGAGGCGATATGAGGGGAGGTGGTGTGAGGGGAGGTGATGTGAGGGGAGGTGATGTGAGGGGAGGCGATGTGAGGGGAGGCGATGTGAGGGGAGGTGATGTGAGGGGAGGTGATGTGAGGGGAGGTGATGTGAGGGGAGGTGATGTGAGGGGAGGTGATGTGAGGGGAGGTGATGTGAGGGGAGGCGATGTGAGGGGAGGCGATGTGAGGGGAGGCGATGTGAGGGGAGGCGATGTGAGGGGAGGCGATGTGAGGGGAGGCGATGTGAGGGGAGGCGATGTGAGGGGAGGCGATGTGAGGGGAGGTGATGTGAGGGGAGGTGATGTGAGGGGAGGTGATGTGAGGGGAGGTGACGTGAGGGGAGGTGATGTGAGGGGAGGCGATGTGAGGGGAGGTGATGTGAGGGGAGGCGATGTGAGGGGAGGCGATGTGAGGGGAGGTGGTGTGAGGGGAGGCGATGTGAGGGGAGGTGATGTGAGGGGAGGTGATGTGAGGGGAGGTGATGTGAGGGGAGGTGATGTGAGGGGAGGTGATGTGAGGGGAGGTGATGTGAGGGGAGGTGATGTGAGGGGAGGTGATGTGAGGGGAGGTGATGTGAGGGGAGGTGATGTGAGGGGAGGCGATGTGAGGGGAGGTGATGTGAGGGGAGGCGATGTGAGGGGAGGTGATGTGAGGGGAGGTGATGTGAGGGGAGGTGATGTGAGGGGAGGTGTTGTGAGGGGAGGTGATGTGAGGGGAGGTGATGTGAGGGGAGGCGATGTGAGGGGAGGTGATGTGAGGGGAGGCGATGTGAGGGGAGGCGATGTGAGGGGAGGTGGTGTGAGGGGAGGTGATGTGAGGGGAGGTGATGTGAGGGGAGGTGATGTGAGGGGAGGTGATGTGAGGGGAGGTGATGTGAGGGGAGGTGATGTGAGGGGAGGTGATGTGAGGGGAGGCGATGTGAGGGGAGGTGATGTGAGGGGAGGCGATGTGAGGGGAGGCGATGTGAGGGGAGGTGGTGTGAGGGGAGGTGATGTGAGGGGAGGTGATGTGAGGGGAGGTGATGTGAGGGGAGGTGATGTGAGGGGAGGTGATGTGAGGGGAGGTGATGTGAGGGGAGGTGATGTGAGGGGAGGTGATGTGAGGGGAGGTGATGTGAGGGGAGGTGATGTGAGGGGAGGTGATGTGAGGGGAGGCGATGTGAGGGGAGGTGATGTGAGGGGAGGTGATGTGAGGGGAGGTGATGTGAGGGGAGGTGATGTGAGGGGAGGTGATGTGAGGGGAGGTGATGTGAGGGGAGGTGATGTGAGGGTGAGGCGAGTGTAAGTTGGTGCAAGTGTGTGCAGTGTGGGATAGCGTGTTTCCATCTCGCACCAGAAAGCAATCCCCTTATGCTTCCACCCCCACCCCACCCGTATCCTTCTCCCTCCCCCTCTGCCCCATCCCATGGCAGCGGTTCATCCTGGAAGGAGGCGCATCGCTGGTGTGGCCCCTCTGGCTGCACCCTTATGACACGACCTCTCTGGACCTAAGCCTTGTTGTCTTCTTCGAACCAGCCCATGCCGGTGCTGCTGCTGCTGCTGCTTCATCTGCCGGCAGCATTCTTGCTGGCGGTGGAGCAGAGGGAGGCTCATTCCCTCCTCCTCTCCCCACGCACCACCACTCCCATCAATCCCACGGCCATGGCCATGGCCATGGGCATCATTCACACCATCGACCATCACAGCATCATCCATCTCACCTCTCCTCGCACGCCCCCATGACCTTCCGCACGTTGCGTCTGCGACAAACAATCACGGTAATTGAATCACTCTGATTTTCTTCTCCAGCTGTCTCTCTTCTCTCTGCCCTACCTCTTGCATCTCCTATTGAGGTTGATCCAGCCCATATAAGCCCATCCAGCCCATCATTGCATCCCTGTGCATTGCACCCTGCTTTTTTTCTATATGCATTGACAGCTTATTCTTCTCTCAACCCCCTTTCTGCTTGTCCCTCTCTTTCTCCAACCTCAATCCTACAGATCCATCCATCGCTGCACGTGTCACTGCGCATAGCTCCCAGCAACTCGGACGTCGCATGCTATCTTCTCCGCATGGACGTGGAGAATCACAACCATAGCCGCACCTTCTGGCTGCGCCAGGTCTCCTGCCCTGGCACGCACTGGCGCCTCGCTCCTCTGCAGCCCGCCCAACCACGACGACCGTCTCTCTCTTCTTCTGCTGCTGCTGATGGTTCTGATTCTTCGAATCTGGACAGCCAAATGCAGCAACAGCAGCTTGTGGTGGAGGATGAGGAGCAGCAGATGAGTGGGGCGTTGCTTTCTGCTGCACTGGCTGCACCGCAAGTCCTACCTCCTGGCCAGGGCACCTCACTTTTCTTCCACATTCAGGTTCGTCCTAGCCACATGCATATGTCTCTCAAGAAAGCTTCTCCTCGCTGCAGTGAACATGACTCTCCACGGCTTTTTCAGTGCTTGGAGAGGGTCGCATAGACATGGACGGCTTCAGCAGCAGCTCAAGGCTGCGCAGGCAGACACGTCCTCACATTCATACCTGCAGTGACCATTTACTCTTCACTAACCTTAAAGCTGTCATCCCTCCTATCCATCGCAGGACTTTGCCTCGTCACTCGGGAATGAGCGCGTGGACAGGGAGAGCTTCAAGAGTGATGTGCGGCTGGGGGGACAGGCGGAGCCTCTCATCGACATTGGCAGAGACCCACTGCATGCCCTGCACCTCAGGGAACGAGGCTTCCAGGTAAATGTTTAACACCTGTATGCTTGCACACATGAATCTCGCTGGTCCCCTGCAAAAACACTCTCTATGAATTCCCTGCATGCCCCTTGAGGAGTTTCTTTAGCGAGCTGGGTCACGCTGGTGAATCTTAAAGCAATTAAGCAATACGCTTTCATCATAAATGCTCGTGCATTCACAATATCACCTCCATCGAGCAATTCATAGTTTCTAAGGCGAACTATCAGTTACCCTTGTACAATGCTTGGGTGGTGCTACATTCTCACAGTACTAGATACATAACTTTTCCCCTCCTGCCTTCCCTCTGTCTTACTATTCCCAGGCTCTCCCTCCCCCAGACCCCGTCACCAACCCTGACGCCCCTCCCCCAAAGCAACCACTGCACATCTCTCTACACCACTCCCGCTTCAACATCACTCGCCCCATCTCCGTTCCTCTCTCCCCCCGCGGCCATCTCAACCCCAGCCGTGCACCTTCCTGGTCCACTCCTCCAGGAGGAGGGGTGGCGGGGGGGACAGGGAGCCCTGTGATTGGCTCACGGCCCGTTTGGCGCTCAGGCAGTGGGGGAGGGGGAGGCACAGGGGGAGCAAGCAGTGTGCGTGGCCAAGGGGGTGATCTGCTAGACGTGGTGCTTGTGTGGGAGTATCAGGAGCAGGGGTCAGGGAATGGGAGTGATAGCAGGGCTGCTGCTGCTGGTGCGATTGGTGGTTCAGCATCTGGGTCAGATGTGCCTTCCCTGGTTCTACCTGGGAGTGCAATAAGGAGCACCAGCAAGACAACATCAATTGAAGGTGATACTAATTTGAATGACAAAAACGGGAATGGAGTGTGCATAGGGACGCATCATATCTGTAACTGTCAGGTCGGCCCAGCTTATGGCGTCTCCTCTGTTGCTGCTGCAACTGCAAGTGCTAGCGCAAGTGTCGGAGGAGGGGGGATAGCTAGTGGGGCTGCAACAGGAGCAGCAGCTACTGCAGGGAGCGGCTCAGTAGCAGACACTGCATCCTCTGCTGCCAATGCTGGTTCTGCTGCTGCATCAGCTGCTGTGCGATGGAGAATGGACGGGCCTTCCTATCTCCAGCATGACTTCTCTTCCAATCCCACCTGCCCCGTGTCTCTCACCCTCCTCCTCCGTAACTGCTCTTCTTCACCTGCCTCCGCTGCTGTCCACACTTTCGACCCTGCACTGCTGCCTGCTGTGGAAAAGAGTGTCAATGCATCCACTCTAGGCTCGAATCTGCCTGAGAAATCTGGCTTCTACTGCCCCAACAACTTGGATGGCCAAGACGGCGGCACAGCAGCGAGTCCTAGAAGCTTCGCAGGAGGTTTCTCAGGTGGAGGCGGTGTGCTGGGTGGTGATGAGGTGGCGTGTGGCACAGCAGCGTGTGGACCATATATGTGGGCAGGACAGACTGCCATGCAGATTCCCAAGCTGGCTGCAGGAGAGGAAACTTCTGTGAAGCTCACGGCGGTGGTGTTTTCTCCTGGTGTGTACAATTTCTGGAGTTACCGTGTTGCCTGGAGTGCTGATGCCAGTGGTGGTGAAGCTGGAGCCAAGACAGGCCAGTCTGAGGCTGCCAAGGACAGCAGAAGCAAAGTTCCAACGAAGGAAGCTGGCGGCAAGAATTCGAGCAAGCATGGCTCACAGAAGGAGTATTCTAAGAGTTCAACAGAGGAAGCCCAAGAGAATGCTCAGAGGCTTGTGACAGGTGGTGGTATGGGGCACCCGTTTATGGTGGTGGTAATGCCATAAAGACCTTTAGATTGCTTTTCTGCAATTTCTGCTTTCGACACTTGTTCTTGCCATTTGTGGCTAAGTCGCATTGCCATTACAGAGTATACTAAGCATTCAACTTTTGTAGTTATCCTGCAATGTGCAGCAATGATCCAGATTGTGCGTGCAAGGCCATTCCACTACCCTTGTGAAATGTGCAGCTTTTTTTGGAGACTTTATTCTCCATATGTTGAAAAGCACAAAGTGATTGCATGAACATGGCTTATAATCCCTGTGGGGTACTCGATCAGTCTCAAATGGAGCATTCCGCGGCAGCAAGGTGCACAGGGGTGATGGCTTGATCGCACTGCCTTATCCCGTGCTGCTGTGCTGGACGTTTTCGCCTTCCAGAATCCGGACCGCGCGAAAGAGAACGTCTTCACGAAAAATGCGCAAAAAAGCATCATGCCAGATCAGCCTCGTAGTGAGGAGGGAATATCCAAACACTAGGCCGTGCAGTATGGATGTTGCCGAACGAGCCTGATTGGGCTGCTTTCTTCTCTGGCCCACAGTTCCATGCCAATCTCCCTGTCGCTGTCGGTGGGAATTTCAGACATCAGGAAAGCCGCCATCTCCATTGCAACCCTTATACATAAGCTACTGGGATGGAAGCCAAGAGCTCACATTTCAAACAACGCCATTCCCTTCGCCTGTGAAGTTGCTCTGTCGTTGCTCAGCACACAGGCTTCCTACTGCTGGCTGCTTCTCCGACCCTCGTTCCTTGAAGAAGCCGTGTCGTGATCGTCAGCAGCCATGCTTCATACCACTGCTGGTGTTGGTGCTGATGATGACGACCATGTCGTCGAGTCCGTCTTCGCGTCGCGTTACACTTCTGCAAGTGTTCCCAAGTAAATATTTTTTCTTCCCCCTACGTGCACGTATGGACGCCAGCGAATGTCGCACTCCGACTTCCACACTCGCGAAAGCGGGGTACACAATGATTAACAAACTGTCGCTTTTGGATTCCCAGCTCTAACATTATACTTCGTATTTGCAATTTCCACTCCTGCAGGTACCACATTCCTAAGGAGGGTATTCCCAAGGAGGCGGCGTATCAGATGATTCACGACGAACTGCTGCTGGATTGCAACCCGCGGCTCAATCTGGCGTCGTTCGTGACCACGTGGATGGAACCCGAGTGCGACCAGCTCGTCATGGAGTCGCTCAATAAGAATTACATCAACATCGAAGAGTATCCAGTCACTAACGAGCTCCAGGTTCGCAATTTTCGCCAAAGATTTCAAAATTGTGCTTCTTGTCACGTTTTCTTACCATTGTGCTTTTGATTGTTGCTCGCATACAGGAGCGCTGCGTGAACATCATTGCGAATCTTTACAACGCGCCTCTCGGGGATGGGGAAGGCGCAATTGGCGCGGGGTGCGTGGGGTCGTCAGAGGCAATCATGCTGGCGGGACTCGCGTTCAAGCGCAAGTGGCAGGAGAAGCGCAAGGCGCAGGGGCTACCGTACGATAAGCCCAACTTCATATGCGGCTCTGAAGTCCAGGTAATCTACCCTGCTTCTACGTTTCAGCTCTTTGCTGGGTTTGTGTTTGATTCCGCGTTGACGGTTGCGGAATTGAGTAGCTTAATCTACTCCTTTCCCGTTTCATCATAGCGTTTTCTTGCCTCCTATATTCGTTATCATTTTCTCATTACCCCGATCACGTTATCCGAATTCAGGTGTGCTGGGAGAAGTTTTCCAACTACTTCGAGGTGGAGACCAAGTTCGTGAATGTGAAGGAAGGGTCGTTCGTGATGGACCCGCACGATGCTGTGGAGGCTGTGGACGAAAACACCATCTGCATCTGCGGCATTCTCGGGTCGACTTACAACGGGGAATTTGAGGACATCAAGCTCCTGAATGATCTGCTCGTGGAGAAGAATGCCAAGACCGGGTGGGACACGCCGATCCACGTGGACGCGGCGAGCGGCGGTTTCGTGGCGCCGTTCCTGTGGCCGGAGCTGGAGTGGGACTTCCGGCTGCCCACGGTGCGATCCATCAACGTGAGCGGGCACAAGTACGGGCTCGTGTACCCCGGCGTGGGGTGGGTGGTGTGGCGCAGCAAGGCCGACCTCCCCGAGGACCTCATCTTCCACGTCAACTACCTGGGCGCGGACCAGCCCACCTTCACGCTCAACTTCTCCAAAGGTACGCTGTCATGGCGGATTTGGATGGGCTGGGATCGACAGGAATGCTGAATATGGTCGGTCTGTGTCCCCCAGGCTCCCGACCAACAGACGTCAGACTGGGACACCCAATTTCATTTTTATGAGTGGACTTGTTGAGAGATTCAGCTCCCCGTCACAGGCCCCTGCTTCTCGCATTTCCCACCTTCTGCGTGGCTTTCAGGCGAGCCTGGAGCCTATGATGGCACATGAAACGAACATTTCACTCGTAGTAACCCTCCTTTCATCTTCTGGCACCTCCACATTTTCTGCTGCAGGCTCCAGCCAGCTGATCGCGCAGTACTATCAGTTCGTCCGCCTTGGCTTTGAGGTGAGCTCTGTTTCCACCTTTGTTGGAGCCAACATTGCTGGGCTGTTTCTTATTTAGTCATGGTCCTGTCCCCTTCCCTCTCTTCCCTTTTCTCCCTGTAGCCCTTCCTAGTGCCTGAACAACCTGTCCCCTACCCCTCCAACACCCTCTTTTCGTGCACCTCCTCCAACCATACTTGCAACAGGGCTACCGCAAGATCATAGGCAACTGCCACACGAACGCCATGTACCTCAAGAAGGCCATAGAGGATATGGGGTGCTTCGACATCCTCTCCAAGGACGTGGGTGTGCCGCTTGTCACATTTGCACTGAAGGAGAAGGATGGTGCTTTCAACGAGTACGACATTGCTGACATGCTGAAGCAGTTCGGGTGGATCATCCCCGCCTACACCATGGCCCCTGACCTCGAGCATGTCACCATGCTGCGCGCTCTCGTCCGAGAGGACTTCTCTCGTTCCCTTGCCGACCGCTTTTTGAACGACCTGCGTATGACAGTGAAGATGCTGGAGGACCGCAGCACCACCGTTCCGCGCACAGTCACTCCCGCAGCCGCCACTGCTGCTGCTCCTGCAGTTTCCTCCGTCCCTGAGGAGGCGCCTGTGGCAGTGGAAGCCCCCAAGCCTAAGTCCAGGCTCTCGCGGAACCTGGATGCGGACGAGGGGTATGTGCTGTCACCGCTGGCGGGCACGCGGCTGATGCCGCCCAATAAGCTGGAGTTTAGCCACTCAATGGACACTTCTGCGCTGCGCCAGCGCACCTTCAGGGTGTTCAAGAAGAACAGCATTGCCAAGACTAACGGGGTGTGCTAGAAGCACTGATGATGGAGGGGAAACATGCAGAGCATGAAGCTGCTGTGGCTGATGCATTGCTTGTGTTGCACCCATCATATTGTGCATGAAATTGCGGTGGTATATATGAGACTGTGTTATCTAGGAAGTTTTGTGTGCATCAGATACTAGTTACTGGTTTTCCAAATCACGGAGCATTCATAATTTGTCGACAAGTTGTATGCTGCTGGTCACCTTAGGGCTACATGCCCAGTTGCCGTTGTGAGCTAGCTCATAGGGATAAATCTGTTTAGTATCCGCGTTTCCCGCTTCCCAGACTTGCGAGCCCGCCAATCATAACTTTTTTAGCACACTGGATGCCAGGTCAGCCTCTCTGATTCTTGGGACCTGCCAGGTCTGATTTGTTCAGTCGCAAATTGGGTTTCCGGGCAGGCATAGTTTTTCCTGCATACAGTACAGAGGTTGTCTTTCTGCCCTTTCTCATCGGGCCATAGCGTGGTCCAATGAAACCCACAGCTGGTTGGGCAGCTTGTCGAGCATCAGGGTGTAGCGAACGCAGCGTCAGCAATGCCTAGCCTGTGGTAAATCTCGATCGAGCCACCAGAGCTAAATCTGAGAGAAAAGCGATGTTCCAGACCTAGGAACTGGGTAATGCCGAACCAGTCAAAATGTTGAAGCAGCATTCTGCTCCACTCCGCCGTACCCATCCAAATTCCACTTTCCATTCGTCCTGCCATCAAATTCAAGCAGGGAGGATTGAAACATCAGTGAAGCCACTTTCTTGTTTCTGTGAAGAGCTTGCATTCCAAGGCACACGTTCACCTCACTCGTGTGTACCGAGAGTCAACTCTCCGCTGAATTTTTCACGGTATTGGCTTCCTAGTTCGAGCTGTTAATCCGAGCCTCGTTCCTGTAAGGAGCGTGTCCTGATCGTCTGCAGCCATGCTTCACACAACGACTGGTGCTGGCGAGGACCATGTCGTCGAGTCGGTCTTCGCCTCGCGTTACACATCTGCGAGCGTTCCTAAGTAAAAGTTTCTTTCTTCCTGCATCCACGAACGATTTTTACTGGAAAATGCGGATTTTCAATTTCCATCTTTCACATTGCGAGACCACCGAAGTCAATGTATACGAGATGTTCACTGTTATTCTAAAACAACTGCTAACAAACCCGCATTTTGAAATCCTGCAGGTACCAGATTCCCAAAGAAGGTATTCCTAAAGAGGCTGCGTATCAGATGATTCACGACGAGCTGCTGCTGGATTGCAACCCTCGGCTTAACCTGGCGTCGTTCGTGACGACGTGGATGGAGCCTGAATGCGACCAGCTCATTATGGAGTCGCTTAACAAGAACTACATTAACATTGAGGAGTACCCAGTCACCAATGAACTCCAGGTTCGCATTTCCGTTAAGGCTTGAGAAATGTGGGTTATTTTTTTTCGTCATACAACGTCGGTTCAACATTGTTTGCTTCTTGTTGCTTTCCTCAAATGCAGGAGCGCTGCGTGAACATTATCGCGAATCTTTTCAACGCGCCCCTAGGGGACGGGGAGGGCGCGATCGGCGCGGGATGCGTGGGGTCGTCAGAGGCAATCATGCTGGCGGGACTCGCGTTCAAGCGCAAATGGCAGGAGAAGCGCAAGGCGCAGGGCAAGCCATACGATAAGCCAAACTTCGTCTGCGGCTCTGAAGTCCAGGTAACCTACATTGGTTACAAGGATTCTGGATCCTGTGTCCGCGTTTTTTTCTCGATTTTTTTTCTCTCTCTTGGTTTTTTTGTATTATTATTTTTTTTTTCCAGTTTGAGTCTCGTGTTTGCAGCTCATTTTTCGTCTCTCTTACGCTCCTATACCCACTAACATTTTCGCATTTTCTTATCCGAATTCAGGTGTGCTGGGAGAAGTTTTCCAACTACTTCGAGGTGGAAACCAAGTTCGTGAATGTGAAGGAAGGGTCTTTCGTGATGGACCCGCATGATGCCGTGGAGGCTGTTGACGAGAACACCATCTGCATCTGTGGCATTCTCGGGTCTACCTATAACGGGGAGTTTGAGGACATCAAGCTCCTGAACGATCTTCTCATGGAGAAGAATGCCAAGACGGGGTAAGCAGCATTATCGAAATGATCTTTAATAATCGTTCTATACCAGCGGACGTTAGTATAACACGTGCGTCCATTGCCATATTCTCTTACCTCGAGATTCTTCCCCTCTTCCTTCCCACATTTCGGCCTCCCTGTGTTCCCCTCCCCCCTCCCCCACACCCCCCTTCGCGTGCAATACAGGTGGGACACGCCGATCCACGTGGACGCGGCGAGCGGCGGGTTTGTGGCGCCGTTCCTGTGGCCGGAGCTGGAGTGGGACTTCCGGCTGCCCACGGTGCGATCCATCAACGTGAGCGGGCACAAGTACGGGCTCGTGTACCCCGGCGTGGGGTGGGTGGTGTGGCGCAGCAAGGCCGACCTCCCCGAGGACCTCATCTTCCACGTCAACTACCTGGGCGCGGACCAGCCCACCTTCACGCTCAACTTCTCCAAAGGTACGCTCTGGTGCTAATATGGCCGGGGGGTTGGATGGTCGAGTGGGGAACATTCGGGGATGACGGGGTGAAATGTCTGGTGTGGGCTTGGGAGCAGCAAAAACATACCAAGGAACCGATTTGCTAATGTTCCCGCTGTTCCAGTTCACACTCCTCCCGCTGGTCGTAACTTTCTCCACGTACCTCCGTGATCTCGCGTAAAACGAACAGGAGTTCACTTGTATCTCTGCTTTCTTTCTCAAACACTGCCGCATTTTCAAATGCAGGCTCCAGCCAGCTAATTGCACAGTACTACCAGTTCGTCCGCCTTGGCTTTGAGGTGAGCTCTGCTTCCACTGGGTTTGTTGGATCTTCTGAGCGTATTAGATGCGAGCGAGCACTGCTCGTAGAACTTCTGGTGATGCTTCTACGGATTCGTTCAGATTGGCCTGTCCCTGTCCCTTTCACTCTGTCATGTGCGTCTGGCCCTTCCACCTCTGGCCCTTCCACCTCCTTCCCGTTCCCCTCCCATCCCTCCCATCCACCGCTGCCACTCATAGGGTTACCGCAAGATCATAGGCAACTGTCAGACGAACGCCATGTACCTCAAGAAGGCGATAGAGGACATGGGGTGCTTTGACATCCTCTCCAAGGACGTGGGTGTGCCGCTTGTCACCTTCGCTCTCAAGGAGAAGAACGGCAATTTCAACGAGTACGATATTGCTGACGTGCTCAAGCAGTTCGGGTGGATCATCCCCGCCTACACCATGGCCCCTGACCTCGAGCATGTCACCATGCTGCGCGCTCTCGTCCGAGAGGACTTCTCTCGCTCGCTCGCCGATCGCTTCCTGGCCGACCTGCGCATGACAGTGAAGATGCTGGAGGACAGAGGCGCTGGTATGCCCCGCACCAAATCCACGGCTGAGGCTGCTGCTGCTGCGGTTGCCTCGGTGCCCGAGCATAAGCCCGTGACAGTGGAGGTTCCCAAGCCTGGGTCAAAGCTGGCTCGCGACCTGGCAGCGGACGAGGTGTATGTGCTGTCGCCGCTGGCGGGCACGCGGCTGATGCCGCCCAGTAAGCTCGAGTACAGCCACTCGATGGACTCGTCCGCGCTGCGCCAGCGCACCTTCAGGGTGTTCAAGAAGAACAGCATTGCCAAGACCAACGGGGTGTGCTAGAGACTGTGGGGAAGAGCACCGAGCAGGCAGGTGCTGTGGCTGGCGCCATGCTGGTATGTTGACTATGGGATCACAGATCCTGTATACATGTCGAAGTCGTTAAGGTACTAGGTTATGTGCTTCCATGAAAAAAAAAAGTGTTTTTCTCTCTACAAACTTTTGCTGTGAGATGTATGCCTTCAATCATTTTTTGTGAAAATTTTCCCGCGGAGGGAGGAGGTTTCAATGGAGAGCTGTTGCTCCATACTTAGATGGAAGATTTAGGTTACTACATGAACTGTACCAAGATTCGTACAAACCAGTAGCCCATATTATACTTGATGCACGCTTTGGCAGTAATGAGGCACGTGGTGCTGCGGCCAGTTGACTTTGCCATGCACAGGAAATCATGCTGCTGCCTCCATCTTTTTCTCCAGCTCCTTCACTTTTCGCTGCACAGCACAAATAGCAAATGGGGAAGAGCAGCGGCTTAAACGAGCTGTGCCAGAGCAAACCTCTACCTGCAGTAGCTGCAACCACGGGTCACCTTGTGCTGGCGTGATGCTGTAGGCAGGCAAACAGACACCCAGCTTACCAGGAACTGTTTGGAGCGCCTGAATTCAGCGTCTGTGTCGGCCAACCTCTCATACACCTCCAGGGCCTCCCTCACTCGCCCCAGCGCTGCCAGCGCCTCTCCTCTGCGAATCACCGCCTGGGGGTTTGGAAAACAAAGGTGACCGGGAAACAGGAGGGGGATGGGGAACAACAAGCAAGCTGAGAAGGAGGATGGTATTCACTGAGGAAGAAAGGCTGTAGTGGGTGGCACAGGTGGGTGGCACAGGTGGGTAGCCAGGAGCCTTATTGCGTTCAGGCATGGGAAGGAGGGGTAAAGCAGGGCTTACCGAGGACCAACCAGGCTTGAGTGCTGCCGCGGCTTCAGCGTCTTCCAATGCTCCCGTAGGGTTACCACATGCCACCCTTGCAGCAGACCTTCAGTTACACGGGTTACAGCATATGCAGCAGTACATTGCACAGGAAGGCTTTTCAGGTTCGACCACCTGGCACAGACAAGATACCACAATCAAAAGTGACGCTGCCAGGGGTTTGCCTCGCCGACAGGAGCCTCTCAGACCAGCATTGCACTGCTCACCTGTTGCAGAGCAGGTTGTGTATTCCCCCAACAGGCGCCAACTCAATGGCCTGTGAGAGATGCGGGTGGGAGAGGCCAAAGGCAGTGAGGAGGAAGAAGGGAGAACCAGCAACAATAGCAACATATCTTGACGTCCCTAACTCCATCATCCTAACCACCCTCCCCCACCCTCCTTCCATCTCCCAGCGCAATCACCTGAGTGAAGAATTTCTCAGCCTCGTCCGCTCGGCCCTTCTCAAAAGCTGCATTGCCGCGACCCTTCAACTCCAGAGCCGCCAGATTCGTCTCCGCGCTCCCCCCCGCGCACTGCCTCTCCAGCAGCCGCGCCGCGTGCGCTGCCGTGCTGCAGTGGCGGATGATCGTCTGGGACGGCAGCAGCTCCAGATTCGGGCCTGCTCCGCACCGCCCTGTGATTGTAACGAGGGGTCAGGAACACAGAAATGCCGGTCATTGTTGCCTGACCGTGCGTCATGACCAGCAAAGCTCACAGTTTTATGCGAGGAACTGCCAATAAATTGGAGAGAAGTGAGTGGCTCTTGCTGCTTCATCCGTATCCAGACATCTCCTTCATGCCATGCGTCATACGCCACGAAACAAACTGTCATCTCACCTAGACATCCACACGAGTCCACATTCACGTGCGGCGGCGCCAGGCCGCGGAAGTGGTCAAGCGTCTGCAGCCCGCCGTCTTTGCGACAGGTCTTCCCCACGCACACGTTGATCTCCGTCACTTCCGCCTCACTCGCCTTATCTGCTGCTGCTGCAGCGGCGCAGCTGCGGCGAGGATGTCGCGCGGGGTTGGAAGATGGTTGTTTGCATGGCGGCGGAAAGCTGTGGGATGTGTTTTTGATTGGTTCATGTGAACTTGAGGAGTGAGTTGAGGTTAGAGAATGAAGCTGGGAAATGACGACTCGGGAAGGAAAGATGGAGCACATGGCGTTTCACGAGAATGAGAAGGTGAGGCTGTCAAATGCTAACCCAAAGCTCGAGGAATTCTGGTGGGTGGAATGGAGTCGAAGGACTATGAAGGAAGCAAATTCAAAAACAGCCGCCATGGCAGAATGAGAATATACTTGAAGTGGTGAAGTTGGGCGAGACCCATTGGTGTGGCGAGGAATATCAGTGGAGAGAGTGTAAAGGCAAGGCTGTCCGAACCAAACCACCAGGTATGTTCGCGACAAACGGGTGCTTCGGGAGGTTGTTATTGGTCGAGAACACGTGGCCGTCAAACACTGGTGTCGTCTCTGCTTGGGCAGTTTCACATTACTGGAGTCAGAGCAGGCTGACCTGGCTTGCCAATAACCTCGGTCTGATCCGAAGCTGCGAGCCACCTCCGAGCCAACCTGCTCAGCTGAGCCGAGCCTCAACCAGTAAAAATCTAGAAGCCCCTGGGAAGGTTACAGAAATTCGCTTACGGTGCCAGTTGCCCAGGCTAGTCAGTTTCCAAGGTAGGGACTTGCGACGCACTCGCGTTTTGGCAGCGAAACGGTTACCAGATCTTGTCGCAACTCTTCTGGATGGCCAGAACGGACTGAAATAATAGCTTGCTCTCTGACATTTCTCTTGCATATCGTCCAGATACTTCGCCACGCATTTTAGATTAGTTACGGGCTCGGGAACTTATCGCCATTGTTCTCCATCGGCGTTGGGACAGCTGCTGCTGCTTACGACTCCGCCATGCTTTCGCTGGACGCTCCCCTGCTTCTTTGGCCTCGGAAGCTAGCACCTTCGCGTGCACTCCGACCTACCTCACACTCACAGCCATTCCGGACATCGTCACTTGGAACACCACTGTTGTCTATTCGTCCATCAGGGCTTCCAAGCAACCAAGGCTCGCTTCTAGCTTCACACCCTCACCGTCATCCATTCCGCACAGAATTCCTCTCACGCCGTTCACGACCACGTTTCGGTCAGCTAGGGCAGATTCAGAAGCACGCTTCAGCGCCGCCTGCTCGCTGCTCTTCCAAGCTCAACCCCTCCGATTCCTCCTCCGAGTCCTCTCAAAACCCTGATGATACATGCTCAGACGACAAGCTTGGCGAAACACAAGCGAATTCGCCAGATTCGCCAATCGGCAAGCTGTCCAATCCGAACGCGTCCAGCCCCAAGGCTCGTCAACGAGAGAATTCCAGCGATGCATCCGTGAGAAAATTCGCTGCCAAGCAGACTGAACATGAGAAAAATCCGTCAAATGAATCCGACGAGTCATCCTCGCGGCCCGCCAGCTTGTCAGACCGCGCCAAGGAGCGCTTGCAGCGGATAGAGGAAGCAGCCGCCGCCGCGAAATCCGGAAACGATCCTTTCAAGGGCATGGTGGCTGTGGCAGCCCAACGGCTGCAAGACTACTTCGATCAGACTAGCCTGGTTGGGGGTGCAGGGGGGGTTGGTCAGGAAGGGGTTGGGTTGAGGGGTGAGGAGGCGGAGGGGGGGGATGGGAGCAAGGAGACGGCGTGGCAGCGGTGGGAGAGGGTGTTTGGAGAGGTGGAGGAGCGAGAGGCCATGCTGACGAGTCTGCAGGTGGGGACAGGGAACGCGCTGGGAATCCACCACCGACAACATGCTTTGCATTATCCTTCTCATTTTCCTCCCCTGCTCTCCTGCTCTCCTGAAACTCCTTTCCTGCTCCCCTCTTTCTCTTCTGCTCCTCTCCTCGTCTCCCCCTCTCCTGCTCCTCTCCTGCTCTCCTCCTCGCCCGCTCTCCTCTCCTCCTCTCCTGCTCGCTCTCATGGACTCACTCACCCGCGTCCCTCTGCTATCTGCGTCCCTCTGCTCTCTCTGCGCAGTCCCAACTGGACGACCTGGTGGGCGATGAGGACTTCACGGCACCCTTTTAAATCGACTTAAAGTGCTTTCTTTCTCTCTCATGGACTCACCTACATCCCTTTGCCATCTGCGTCCCTCTCTCTGCGCAGTTCCAACTGGACGACCTGGTGGGCGATGAGGACTTCACGGCAGCTGCCAAGCTGCAGGCCGCCATCCGTGCGCTGGAGGACCAAGACGCCATGGCTGCCGTCTTCACTGAGCTCAAGGTACAAACAAATGGCTGTTTGTTCTGTCCTCGCTGACCTTCCTGTCCCGCTTTCCTGCTCTTTTTTCCTTTCCCCACTAATTCGCCTTCCTCTGTGTGGTTTCCCTCCGACCTCACTGCTCTCTCTCATTCACTCCTCTGCGTCCGGCAAGCAGGCGGCGGTGGCGGAGGAAAGGTACAGCGATGCCAAACACCTCCGCGACGATGCTGGCGCCGGGCTGGTGAGTGTGTGCGAGCAGCATCTGTCACCTGAAGGGGGAGAGAGGAGCGAGGACAAGGCGTGGGTTCCGTTGTCTTGCCGTTTGCAGACTACTTGAAAAGCACAAGATGCGAAGGCAAGAAGAACTTTGATTGCAGTGTGGCCAGGGGTGTGAGTGAGGTATGGTTGGGGAGCTGAGCTTGATGACGCATTGGTGTCATGTGTTTTCCCTACACGTCCGTGCAGGTGGGGTGGTGGGCAGGGCTGGACGAGAGTGGATCAGCGGACCCCTTCGGGCGACTCGTGCACGTGTCACAGCAGCACGGCAAGCTGCTCGCCAAGTCCTACACTGCCAAGTAAGCCCCCAGTCATGGCTCCGTGACCCGTCGAGGTCAGGGGGGTGGGCGTGAGCAGATGCGCTTGTGATGGCTTGCAAATGCGCGGGGGAGTTTTGCCGACTTGTGTGTACTTTCCTGCATCCGTTGGTTCAAGGATTCTCTCTTCACTTGATCACGTTTGTGGTTGTGTGCGTGTGCTGCTGGCAGGCAGCTGTCAGTGGCAGGGCAGGGCATTCCCATCTTTGAGATGTACGTGGCTCGCAATGCCGCCAACCCCAACCGATACGACCGCCAGGTGGGGTCAGCACTGGGCCAGTTAACTTCAGATGTGACTTTACACCCCAAAAAGGTGCCGTCTCATCGCTCTTGTGCGTTTAACTTGATTGTGATGAGCGTGAACCACTGCTAGCCAGCACGACTTTGTTGTTTCATCCCAATACCTTCTTCCCCACGGCTGTGCCTCTATGCCTCCTTCCCACGCCCCTGCTCCAATGCCTGTGCGTGCAGGCAGTGTACCTGCACCACGAGACAGCCACCATGCAGGGCAAGGGCGCTTCCTCCACCACCACAAGCCCTGCGCCAAGCACCTCCCCCTCAACCAGCAACAGTGCCACCGATGCTGCCCCCCTCGTCCCCGTCATCATCATCAGCATCCGCGCCTGCCCCATCATCCACGCCACCGTCCAGCGTGCAACGGGTTCAGGATGCCGTCTCGTTCAGCTGGGGGAAGAAGCAAGCAGCAGAGGATGGCAAGGCGGGCGATGCAGGAGCAAGGGCAGGGGCAGGAGAGAAGGGTGGCAGTGCATCTCAGTCGCCGGCAGATCCAGCCTCAGGCCAGGCGTCACCTTCACCAGTTCCACCCACCCCTCCGCCCTCTCCCTCCGCTGCCTCCTCCCCTCCCTCCTCCTCCCCTTCCTCTGCCTCCTCTCCCCCCTCGTCTCTCCCGCCCGGCGCCGACGATAGCTTATCGCGGGTGCTTGATTTCTTCCGCGAGCGGTTACCAGACGTGAAGCTGCGGGTCTTCCCTGTCGTGTCCCCTGCTGACGTGGCAGCACCGGACGGGTCGGGCGCTGCAGGGACAGCAGATATTCCGCGTATTGTAGAGGACGTGGTGAAGCGGATAGCGAGAGACAGGGAATCTGCAGCTGCTGCTGCAGCGGGGGAGGCAGCAGCGTCAGCAGCAGGGGGGGAGGGAGGGAATGAGGGGGAATCTGGAAGCGACAGCGGTGCAGGTGATGGTGTGGGGAAAGTTAAGGGGCCATTACAAGGAGACAGTATGAAGGATGAAAGTGAAGGGGTTGTTCCTGGCAGAGGGGACACGAGTGACAGTGGAGAAGGGGAGGGCACTGTGCAGGGGGGCAGGAGTGGGACGTCTGGAGCTGGTGTGGTGGTTGGTGAAGCAGGTGAAGCGGGAGAGGCAGCAGTGCCGTCTGTACAGGCAGAGAGGGCAGGTGCAGATGCAGGTACAGGGAGCAGGGACGGTGGTGCAGACGACCCGAGGCGTGCCAGTCAGCTGCCAGAGCGTGACTTGCGGCGTCTGAGGGCGTTTAGAGAGCGAAACGGGATGACTGGCGAGGGCACAGGTGGGAGCAAGAGCTCTAATGGCAGTGACAGTGACAGCAGCAACAGTAGCAGTAGAGGAGAAATAGGCAGGGAGGAGGTCGCAGGTGGGGTGGACAGGGAGGGACTCGCAGGCTCGTCTGGTCCTGGCAGAGGCAGTAGAGAGGGCGGGGGAGGTGGTGGTGGGGAGGGGGAAGGCGGGGCGGAGCGAAGCGACGTTGAGGACGGATCAGAGGATGCAGAGGGGCGGCAGGGCATCGCTGTGCGCGTGGTGGTGGGCGGAGTGTTCCCGGGGGACGGCGCAGGGGAGAGCGTCACCAAGGTGCCAGCGAGGATCGAGTGGCGAGGCAAGGACGCGTTTGTCCTTACTGTGGAGGACAGCGAGGGCGATCGGGATGCAGCTAGCAGCAGCAGCACGGGAACATCTGCAACTGACCCAGCAGCACCGCAACCCCCCTCCTCTTCGTCCTCTTCCTCCTCGTCCCAGTCAGCAGCGGTGCAGGCAGCGGTGAGTGAGCGGCTGGCATCAGCAGCAACGAGGGCAGCGGCGAATCTGATGCCGGAGGACGTGGCCAAGCAGCTGTGGGGCGTCGACCGCTTCTCAGGACCCGTAAGCCCCTTCTTACCCGTGAGACCTTGCTCCTGCCCTTCTGTCCTCGCCCCTCCACCCCTCCGTCTTTCCGCCATTATCCGTCCGGCCTCGGTCCTGTGTGGTTCTCGGTCGTGGCGCAGCTGATCCATGCCCTGTGCATGCCCTACTTGCTGTCCCCTTATCCTCGCCTATCCATACCATATCCATGCCCTATCCTGCGTGCCCCTTTCTGCCACGCCAGGAGGTGTTAAAGGACAAGGACGTGGCACAGCTGATCCATGCCCTATGCATGCCGTACCTGTTTCCCCCTTATTCGTTATCCCCTATCCTGCCCTCACCATCACCATGCCAGGAGGTGTTCAAGGACAAGGACGTGGCGCAGCTGATCCGCACGGCAGTGCAGCATGTGCAGAGGAGGCGCTACACACTGCCCAGAACCACCGCCTTCACTCGCATCCATGCCGCCGATGCCACCACCGACCCCTTTGCTGGTGCGCTGTGTCAGAACTTAAGCTTAAAATCGATACATTAGAAATGAGCAAAATACAAAGTGTGAGATTGAGGGCTAACACTAACGCACTGTCCTCTGCAGCTTGAAGCATCATTGTTTTGTTGTTCTTTTGCTCCTGGTTCATGAGTTGTTGCGTTTGGGTTTGGGACTTCCCTTCCCTCTCCACCACGCCTTACCCCTGCTTGTCTCTCCCATTCTACCCATCGACCCTCTTAGGTTTGTACGTGGGTGCATATGGCCCATACACTTCCGAGGCTATTCAGGTCAGGCGTAGGTTCGGCACGTGGGAGGAACCAGAGGGGGAGGAGGAGGAGAGTGGCGCTGGGGAGGCAGGGGAGGGGTCCGGGAGGAGGAAGAGGCAGGGCGAGCGGGCGTTGGTGCCGCCGTTTGAGTACGTGGAGGGGGTGAAGCTCACAGGCGACTTCAATGTGCCTGCAGGCAAGGTGAGAGCTGCTCCTTGGGTTACTTCTGCAGGCAAGGTGAGAGCTGCTCCTTGGGTTGCTTCTGCAGGCAAGGTGAGAGCTGCTCCTTGGGTTACTTCTGCAGGCAAGGTGAGAGCTGCTCCTTGGGTTACTTCTGCAGGCAAGGTGAGAGCTGCTCCTTGGGTTACTCCTCAGGGAAGGTGAGCTCTCCCTCTGGTTTCCCCTCTGGGATGGTTTCGCCGTTTGAGTACGTGGAGGGGGTGAAGCTCACAGGTGACTTCAACGTGCCTGTTGGGAAGGTGAGCTCTGCCCGGCCATACTCCTGCTGGGATGGTGACTTTGACAGCACTGCTAGATTTATCTGGCTACTTTTTGCTTGGAATGGGACGGGGTTTTTTCTTCAAAATGTGGTTAGAGGCTGAGAGCTCCTTGTGCTGTTGGGTCTCTGGCCTGTGGCTTGAGCTCTTTGACTGACTGTTGATGTCGGTGCTGCCCTGCTTGTGTGTGGGGTGCATGCGCTTCTGCCTGCAGGTGTCTTTTCGAGCAAAGATCGGGCGGCATTGGCAGATGCCGTTCCGAGGGGTGTACCCCGATGAGCTGGGTGTGGTGAGTCAGTGCACTCCCTGTCTGCGTGTTCACACAGTGTCCTCTGAGTGAATTGCTTATGTTAAATTTCCAGAACTTGTTTGTTCTTTTGAGCATTCGGCTCCTGTCTGGCAGCTGGACAAGGCACTCCTGCGCAGCTCGATTGTTTGTACCACTCTGGCCGAGTCGCCACCTTCAGTTCTTGAGTGTCTTTGCATGCAGATACTATGATCAATCATGGTTTTCACCATCCTAACAGGCATGCCGTATGTGTTTCTGTGCCTCGTGTTATTCCAGGTTGCGAGGTACCCTGGCCAGGGTCAGCTGGCAGAGCCGGGTTTCAAGAATCCTCGTTGGGTGGATGGGGAGTTGCTTGTCTTTGATGGAAAGGTATCTCATCTCACCCTCCTGTTTTCTACCGTCGTCACTCCTCCTTACTGTACCTCACCGCCGTACGTGTGGCCGTGCTTGTGGATTGTATCTGTTCTGCACTGATTTCATCCAATTATCTATGTCTTTTTTTTCACACCAACTTATCATGTTGCTTGTGGCTCCTTGTATGGCAGGGTTCTCGCCACACAAATGGTGCTGAGCTCGGCTTTGTTTTCTCATTACCTGAAAAGCACTTTCTCATTCTCTTCAACCGATTAAAGCTTCAAGCTTGAACCGAGCATATAGGTTGGTGCAACATGTAGCAACATATAGTATAGTATTTTCTGAAGTTGTTAGCAAAAGTGTACTGTCCGGGCATCCACACTGCCACGTGTCTCTCTGTAGGAGCTGGAGGTCTCATCATGACATGTCCAAGAATTGGTCCGCCACAGCATATTCGTGGGGAAGAACGTAACGAACTGGCGATGAGGGAGTGTACTGTTCCTCGCTTGGTTGAGCCATTGGCTGGCGAAAAAAGCTCTGCAGAAGGTAATCCAACTGGGAAACAGATGAGGGCAAGCGAGTCACGTTGGTGGAATCGCAGGAAGCCATTTCTCCAGGCAATGTCTCTCTGCAATTCCGCCATGAGCATAGCAAGCGCAATACCATTGTAGCGCCAGCGAGTTATACAATTTCAATCTCCCAGTTTCGGGTAGGGTTGGTGTGGCATGTATGGTAGCTGGCTCCGCTTATCCGAGTAACGACCTTTCTTTAGAATCGATAACCCGTCAGATAGTCTTGTGCACTCGCCGACGTGGCGGCTACAGAGACTCCGGAGGTAGGCCCAGGGGGCGCGAAGAAGCGACAGCGATCCCCGGAGGTAGTTGAGGTCAAAGAAGGAGGCGGAGTCATGGAGCCAGCAAGAAAGATAGCAATAGCAGTGGATTTGAGCGATGAAAGCGCTCACGCAGTCAAGTGGGCTGTCAAGAACTATCTACGTCCTTCAGACCATGTGAGTTTGTTGAACTACGTGTTATCCGGAAAAGATGCGGCACGGATACTCGGAAAGATAATGCTTGCGACTCGGTCTGACTTTTAATTTTGAGGTGATAATTATGCTAGCTTCATACCACCAGGAAAAAAGAACTATGAACTGTTCTGCCTCACATCGCTGGTCGATAAAACGGCGTTATGTTGTGTATCAGGTGGTGCTGTTACATGTTCGTCCCACCTCCGTGTTATATGGTGCGGATTGGGGTGCGTCGGAAACCACAGAGGAAGCTCCTGATAAGGAGACGAAGCAGAAGATGGAGGACGACTTTGATGCGCTGACCGTTGCCAAGGCGAAGGATCTTGCTGCTCCATTAGAAGAGGCTGGAATACAGTACAAGACCCACATTGTGAAAGATCATGACATGAAAGAGCGTATCTGCCTTGAGGTATGCTGGATACGAGTGTTTTACGCGTTTCAACACATTACAGATTACATGCCGGATACTACCTGTGCTGCTATTTGCATTTGCTTGCAAGGCTCGAATATCAGTGCTACTCCTCTTTGGCTGACTACAGGTGGAGCGGGCTGGGGTCAATGCCTGCATTATTGGAAGCCGAGGGTTTGGTGCAGAGAAGCGGTCAAGGAAGGCTCGCCTGGGTAGTGTCAGCGACTACTGTGTCCACCACTGTAAGTCTTGCACTCTTTTCTTTCCCGTTTCCATGGTTGCTCATATTATTTGCAGACAGGTTCAGGTGAATGCTTTCGAATGTGTATGTGTTCAGGTGACTGCCCTGTTGTGGTTGTGCGGATGCATGAGGATAAGAAGGAAGATGAAGCCCGAGCAGCAACATGAGGTTACGTTGGTCTTTTCTGCTGTACCGGCATTACGACGGATCTTTCCTTTTCCCAGAAGCATGGTTATGCGGGCATTGATCATGGCTCCACTCATTCTAGTTCATCTTAACCTAATAAGTTCGCCTAGGGTGGTGGCATCTAGATGGATGCCCGCTTATCAATCCGTGGCCATCTGACAGCATTAGCTTTGTTAAAGGTATCTTGTTTAGCTGTCTAACTAAAAGACAATCCTGGGTGTACAATTTTAGTGGTGCTGCATCTGAAAGCGCCTATCTGACGTCACGCGTAGGTGCTTTTTTGGCTATGTGGCAAGAGTTTCGGCTTTCCCTTGGCGCTCTTTTCAACCACAGGTTTCCTCCTTCACGTCACTTCACCTCACTCCTGCGATTGACTTCGTGCATGGAGTGCGAGGAAACAACAGATGGTTCTCAAGCGAGCTGTGAGAAACCGATCTTTCAGCAAACAGAACAATTTTACAGTACGTGCCCTTTGCAGAGTGAAGCGGCTAGCGGAGAACATGTCGGAAGAGGAAACCTCGAGAAGTCTTAGCGCTCTCAAAGACTTGAATGTCAGTTTTGTGGTCACGGACCCTAAACAGCGGGACAACCCCATTGTATATGTTAGCGATGCCTTTCTGGAATTGACGGGTTACACCCGTAAGGAGGTGCTTGGTCGAAATTGCAGATTCCTTCAGGGCCCGGGGACTGATAGAGGAGCAGTTGTGAAGATACGTGATGCCATTAGGTCGGTGGCATGTTTGTCGTATCTAGTTGTCCCTTACGTCTTTCAGGTTCTGACACCAGCCGTCCGGCTATTTTTCGTTTTGCAGACAAGAAGTTTCATGCCAGGTTCAGATTTTGAATTATACGAAGAATGGTACTCCGTTCTGGAACCTTTTCCACATAACTCCTGTTCATATGGGTCCGACGCATGCGCTCGAGCATTACATCGGCGTACAGACTTGTTTGCCTGCACGGTTTGAAGCCGCTGAAGAGGTTACAACAACATTAGCTTCTGGACAGAGCCCTGCAAGTGCTGGTGCTGCACAAGTCAGCCAAAATGGTGCGCAGCTCATGACCTTCTTTGTGACTGACTCGTGTGCCCGCCGCGCTAGGAGAGTGTTGCCTGGATTGCATATTGCCATCAGGCTTGCAATTGCTACCTAGCTCGCGGTAATCCACAAGTATGATGATTGAGAAGGAAGAGCGCGTAATCTGATGAATGGACTGTTATTGTCAGCTCCCTCATATGGTCTGTGTGCGGCATTGCAGATGGTGGCCTGCGTTTCCAAGAATACGAATCGCTTGCTCGGCTATCAGCCGAGCTTGCTTCGAATAAGTGGGCCTCTTTTTGTGAGCTCCTTCAGAGCTCTTTACCTGCTCAGAGAAATGCAGGTCCTGAGATTGCAGGCAGTTCAGTTGACTCAGTTTCTCAGCTTCCAGGAACGCTTCAGACATCGCTGGCAAGAATTCATCAATGCATTGTACTGTAAGTTGGCCTTCTCTGCATCATGTGCATTCGTTTCCGTGTTTGGCTTTGCCGACTAACATCTGAAAAATGTGCAGGGTCGATGCCACAAACTCAGAGTATCCCATCGTCTATGCAAGCAAGCCCTTCTTAAGAATGACAGGTGCAGAACATGCAACTCAAGATTCCTCAAACTTTCTCATACATATTGCTAACAGACAAGTTTGTTTGCCAGGTTATTCTTGGCAAGAAGTGGTGGGAAAAAACTGCCGCTTCCTTCAAGGACCAGAGACTAACCCGGACCATGTCCAACAGGTACAGTAATGCATGTGTATATTTTTACACCTTAGTGATATGTGCTCATGCTGCTCGCATGATCCATTGCTGCCGTGGACTTTGTGCGTGACAGCTTCGGGAGGCCTTACATGGGAGCAGGTCATGTTCTGTAAATATCCTCAATTACAGGCAAGTACTTGATGTCTGGAAGGGCACTGCAATTTTTCCTTGGTGGGTGATTGTTTGCTGATGAGATACCCTACTTCTAAACCATGTGCAGAAAGGATGGTTCGAAGTTTTGGAACCTGCTGCATGTGTCTCCAGTGAGGTCCTTTGATGGAAAAGTAGGTTACATTGCGGCTGGCCTTTCATGCATCTATGGTCCATGTGATTTACTGATAACTAACGCGGTTCTGTGATTTTGCAGATTCATTTTTATTGTGGTGTCCTGATGGAAGTCCCAACAGGCGCGCAGTCACCTATTCCCACAAATGTTTCTCAGCAGCAGCTCGGTGTCGTTGGTGAAGTTAGGATTGCAGTTAGAAGTCTATCGTGCACAAAAAAATAGTAAGTGTACCTGTACATACCTATGTTGCAGAGTAGATCAAAGAAATTGATGCTGAAACTCGAATACAAGGCAAACCGCCCTGCTGTTTTAGATGAGTTTGTTGGTGACTGGTTGGTTGGTTGGCTGGCTGCACGATTCGCTGGTTGCTCTCTGGTTGGTGGATAGCGGGCTGGTAGGCTGGCGGGTGGGTGGCGGGGCAGTGTGGCATGCCTGGTGTACACAAACCCTGTCGTTAGCTTGCTCTCGTGCACCACTGTAGACCTAGTGTACTCCAATGCACACCCCTGTGGTGGTTTCCTATAGCAAAAGCCCTGTGGAATGCCCACCCTGTTGCATAGACTCTGTCATGTGCAAGTCCTGGAACAAGTGCACATTCTCTGTAATAACGTGCATGCATGCATAAGCCCTGTGGTAAGTATGCCCTGATGTACAAGCTTGGTAGTTAGTACTCCCGATGCACAGCTCTGTGATCAGTGTGCTCTGGTGCATAAGCCCTGTGATGAGCATGCCAAAAAGCATAAGCTCTGGGATTAGCCCTGTGGTTGGCCCTGTGGATAACCCTGTGGTTAGCCTTGTGGTTAGCCCTGTTGCCCTGTCGTTAGTCCTGTCGTTAGCCCTGTTGTTAGCCCTGTTGCCCTATTGTTAGCCCTGTTGCCCTGTTGTTAGCCCTGTCATTATTCCCGTTGCCCTGTTATTAGCCCTGTCATTAGCCCTGTTGCCCTGTCATCAGCCCTGTGGTTAGCCCTGTGGTTAGGCCCTACGCAGGGGGTTGGTGAGGTGGGAGGGTCCGGTGGGGGAGGAACAGGGGAAGAGGGGTGTGGTGTGGGGGGGCTACGCAGGGGGAGAGGGGGGGATACCATACCTGAAAGGGTTACTAGTCTAGATAACCTATCCTATCCTATCTGCTTCAGCTCTAGCATAGGTCTTCATCTTCCGCCTTGGGAGCATAGGGCTTCCAGCATAGGGCTTCTAGGTGGAGCTGCTTCTGTTGTCCTGCAAGCAGACGAGAGGAGGCAATGCAGGCAAAATTCAATGTTCTCTACATGTTGGAATCACGTAAAATGTGAAATGATAGGTATTGTCCGACTCGGGCACATGATTTACATTGTTAACATTCCTACACAATGTACATGATATGATATGATATGCTGTTTCTGGGATTCAGCCTGTGTTCGGTTGCTTTTTGCTCACCTTCACAGACAACGATGAGCTCGTCACCAGCTGGCCTCTCCAGTTGGTTCCACTGCCTTACTCTCCACCCCTGCCTCACCAGTCCAATCCTGTCATGTCAGCAACACATCCCAAATGAAGCAGGGAGAAAGAGAGAGAAACGAGGCAGCGAGAGAGAGAAGGGCACATGAGAGAAACAAAGCAGCGAGAGAAAAGGTTCAAGGACACGGGCATGTGGAAGGATAAAGCTTATGGTTCCACATTTGTTAGCAAATTAGCCACAGCGAAATTGTGTTGTCAGACAGAGAGAGAAACAGGCATGAAATGCAAAATGACTATGAGACATGGACAAGAAGTGCGGGGTTGGAAGGGGTATTGGCTCGCCATGCAAGTGTGGTGCGAAGGGAAAAGGGGTGGGAGCTGAAACCCACCACAAGAAAAGGCCTCAAGGATGTGCTTATCGCGTGCACCCTCGTGCTCCAATGCTCCTGCCAAAATGTTGCTCTGCCCACTGCTGCTGATCACACCCGAAGGAGGAAACACGAGGGAATCAGGCATGTGAGGAAAGAGGAGGAGAAGAGTGAAGAAAGAGGAGAGGATGAGCCGAGAAATAAGGAATGTGAAGAGAAGTGGAGAGGAAGAGCCGAGAAATAGAGCATCTGAAGGTAGAAGAGTGAAGGTAAAAGAAACGAGAAACGGAGAGGTGATGCAACACAGAAGCCGACAAAGGGAAACTGGGGGCAGAGAAGAAGAGAGTAGAGCGAACAGCATTACCATAAGAAGACGACCTGGTTGACTTGACCTCACTTGTAGTCCGTCCCATGTCAACATTGCGTGCCTGTTTGCCAGACGGTGGTGCAGGAGGACAGTGGTGCCTGTTGATGCCTGTTGGTGCCTGTTGATGCCTGTTGGTGCCTGTTGGTGCCTGTTGATGCCTGTTGATGCCTGTTGATGCCTGTTGGTGCCTGTTGATGCCTGTTGGTGCCTGTTGATGCCTGTTGGTGCCTGTTGGTGCCTGTTGGTGCCTGTTGGTGCCTGTTGGTGCCTGTTGATGCCTGTTGATGCCTGTTGATGCCTGTTGATGCCTGTTGGTGCCTGTTGATGCCTGTTGATGCCTGTTGATGCCTGTTGGTGCCTGTTGGTGCCTGTTGATACCTGTTGGTGCCTGTTGCTGCCTGTTGATGCCTGTTGATGCCTGTTGGCGCCTGTTGGGGCAGGTGGTGCCAGTTTGCCAGAGAGTGGTGCAGGAGGATATGAGAGGAGAGAAGGTGGCGTGAAGAAGCGGAGGGGGAGGAAGCAAGAGTGGACGGAGCTTAGTGTTTTGAGGAGATGTGAGAAGGGAGGGGATCAGGAACGTACCACGAAAAGAGGGCAGTTGACTCGCCCTTGCTTGTTGCCCCTTGCTGATACTGCTGCTGCTGCCACTCCCGTGCCGTGCTCTGTTCGACTCGAGGAAAAAAGGCAGGGGAGGAGGATACAAGGAAGGTATGAGAGGAGCAGCGATGACGCTCAAAGAAGAAAGAGAGAGGGCTGGCTAGGTGACAAAAAGGAAATGTGGAGGGGATCTTAGCATGCAGCATGCGAATGCCGCTTGACCGTTGCTCCCTCTGACAGAAAAACGAGTGGCACGGGAGACTAAACTGACAAGCAACCCGAGGACCTTACCTTTTAAGACGTCTCAAAAGAAGTCTGATGGAGACCCGTTGGAAAAGGACCTCACCACATTGTGTCTGCCCATTGTGTTCCCTCCAGCACCCCATTTGCTGTCTCGCCTTGCTGTCCTCGCCTGTTGGAAGAAATACAGGGACAGGAAGAGCGGTGACAGGGAAGGAAATACAGAGAAAAGGGTGAAGGTACAGTCATACAGAGGGGACTGGGAGGGGCGGAATAATGTCAGTGGAAGAAAAGGAGGCAATGACAAATGAGGAAAAAGACAGAAAGGAGAGAGTGCAGCGGAGCAGTAACGTGTAGCGATGAGTAGAGGATCAGAGGAGCAGGCCACAGCGAATGCCAAGGAAGCGGATCTATCAGAGGAGACTCACCACATCCCAGTCTTCTTCCTCATCTCTGCTCCTTCATCTCTGCTCCCACTTTCCTGCTCCCCTGCGTCCTCCTCTGTTCCCGAACACCTGAGAAGAGCAAGGAGAAGAAGGAACGACGGTGATGGAATAAAAGCCAAAGTCCAACAGCCTACTGAGGAGAAGAGGAGTGGTACGGGAGAAGAAAATGATGGAACGAGAACAAGAGAATAAAAGCATAAGGCGAACCTTACCACGTGCGCTGCAGTAACCTCCTCTGCTCCCTCTCCTCCGCCTCAGTGCCCTCTCCTCCTTTCCATGTATCGTCTGCTGCTCCCTCCCCTTTGCATGTATCTTCGTCTGCTGTTTCTCCTCCTGCTCTCTATCCTAAAGAAACAAGCAGTGCCACAACCTAAAGGAGACGAGAGGAATGCGAGCCTACAAGTTACAGTGACAAGCTAAAACAGGCATTCTACACCCTGTACAATATAACAGACCAAGGAACACAGCAGATAAAGGATATCAAGATGATCCCACCTATCCACTCATTGGGATTACAAAGTTGTCACCCCTGTATGTGTTCGTTTCTTTCTGGTCTGAAAACTTCTAGAGCTTGATTGTTTGACTGTTTGTTATTCTCTCCTGCGTGCGTCACGGATAAGTCATGCCCTGTAGTCAGAGTGGGGTTAGCGTACCTGTAGTTAGGCGCTGCCCTGTATTCACCAGAGTCCAATCGAGCCCCACTTAGAGGCTCAATACGTTGTGACTTTTGAGTCGACTCAAAAGTCACCAGAGCAGAGCAGCGAGTCCCGCCAGATGAAGCTTCTGGAAGATGGGTGTAAAGGGGGGATGGGTAGAGGCAGAATGGGTGGAGGGAGCAGGTAGGGGAGGTGAAAGCGGCGGGGAGAGGAAATGAGAGAGCAAATGAAGGACACAATGGGAAAGCAGGAGTACTGAAGCAATCACCGATGAATGCATGAATGTGAAACGAGTGTCAAAGGCTGGATGTCAAACCAGAGGCTGGATGTCAAACCAGAGGCTGGATGTCAAACCAGAGGCTGGATGTCAAACCAGAGGCTGGATGGGCCACAGCTGTGTCGAGTTCCGCTCTTGAAGTGTTGGCTCTCAGAGTGTTGCTCCTGAGTGTTCCACTCCTTTTGTCATGGAGCCAGGGCATGGGCTGGGCTGGGCTGGTGAGAGGGAGAAAAAAGGGTAAGGGATGCCGTAAACTGATACAGGGATGGAATAAAGCAGTGAATGATAATCACAAGCGACAAATGAAGCAAAGGCAGGCAAAACTGGAAAATTTCAGAAGGGAAACCAAGGTGGAAGGATGCAATGAAAACAGAGGGGCGATGGTAGCTCATGGCACTAGGTTGGCGAGCTAGCAGGCAAGGGGGACGAGACGCGGGCGTGAGTGTGAGTGCATTCTAACCCTCTAGGACTCTAGTGTGAGCTCAAGCCGCCCCAGTGCCATGTGCTACCATCGCCACGCGAACGTTTTTAATACCTTCATGCGAAGGCGGCGTTTTGGTTCGAAGCATGCTTGAAAAGAGAGGCTGCGCAATTGTGAACACGAATTACAAGGTAAAGCGGCGGTAAGGATGGCAAGGGTTGAGGAGGGAACTTAGCGGGATTCAGAAGCTGCTCGTCGCCTTGTTAATGCCAGCAGCAGCCCTCCCAGCAGCAGCACTCCCAGCAGCAGCACTCAAGGTCGCTGGGCGCGTGAGGGAGCGGCGTGGTCAGCAGGGCATGCAGGAGGCACGCACGCCGCTGTGACTGCCTGCCGTGCGTCATCCCACCGCCCTCCCTCCCCACACCACGCTGCCACAGCCCTGTGAGAGAGGGGGAAAGCTTAGGAGAGGGAAGGGAGCGAGTGGGAGAGAGCAGAGAACGCAGAAGGGGGGCAGGAATTGAAGAAGTTAGTCTAATACAAGCATGGGCGCGATTGAAACAAAACGGAGGCATAATACTGTGAGAGTAAAAGCTGGAAGTTAAACAACAGGTGGCACAGTGAAAGGGTAGGCGATGGTAGCTCATGGCACTAGGTTGGCGAGCTAGCAGGCAAGTGGGACGAGACGCGGGCGTGAGTGTGAGTGCATTCTAACCCTCTAGGACTCTAGTGTGAGCTCAAGCCGCCCCAGTGCCATGTGCTACCATCGCCACACGAACGTGTTTAACACCTTCATGCGAAGGCGGCGTTTTGGTTCGAAGCATGCTTGAAAAGAGAGGCTGCGCAATTGTGAACACGAATTACAAGGTAAAGCGGCAGCAAGGGTTGAGGAGGGAACTTAGCGGGATTCAGAAGCTGCTCGTCGCCTTGTTACTGTCAGCAGCAGCCCTCCCAACAGCAGCGACACTCCCAGCAGCAGCACTCAAGGTCGCTGGGCGCGTGAGGGAGCGGCGTGGTCAGCAGGGCATGCAGGAGGCACGCACGCCGCTGTGACTGCCTGCCGTGCGTCATCCCACCGCCCTCCCTCCCCGCACCACGCTGCCACAGCCCTGTGAGAGAGGGGGAAAGCTTAGGAGAGGGAAGGGAGCGACTGGGAGAGAGCAGAGAAGGCAGGAATTGAAGAAGTTAGTCTAATATAAGCATGGGCGCGACTGAATCTAAACAGAGGCATAATACTGTGAGAGTAAAAGCTGGAAGTTAAACAACAGGTGGCACAGTGAAAGGGTAGGCGATGGTAGCTCATGGCACTAGGTTGGCGAGCTAGCAGGCAAGGGGGACGAGACGCGGGCGTGAGTGTGAGTGCATTCTAACCCTCTAGGACTCTAGTGTGAGCTCAAGCCGCCCCAGTGCCATGAGCTACCATCGCCACGCGAATGCTTTTAATACCTTCATGCGAAGGCGGCGTTTTGGTTCGAAGCATGCTTGAGAAGAGAGGCTGGGCGATTGTGAACACGAATTACAAGGTAAAGCGGCGGTAAGGATGGCAAGGGTTGAGGAGGGAACTTAGCGGGATTCAGAAGCTGCTCGTCGCCATGTTACTGTCAGCAGCAACACTCCCAGCAGCAGCACTCAAGGTCGCTGGGCGCGGCGTGGTCAGCAGGGCATGCAGGAGGCACGCACGCCGCTGTGACTGCCTGCCGTGCGTCATCCCACCGCCCTCCCTCCCCAAACAACGCTGCCATAGGACCGGACGACAGGGGTGGAGCAAAGGAGAGCAAGAGGGAAGTGAAATGGATGCAAGGAGGCAGAGCTTACAAGAACGGATGAGCAACGGATACAAAAGTTGAGGATGAAGAGCACGTGGCACTGTGACGCTGTGAAAGGGGAGGCGATGGTAGCACACAGCACTAAGGCAGCGAGCTAGCAGGCAAGAGGGACGAGGTAAGGAAGGGACGCGGGCATTCTACTCTAACCCCCTACGACTCTAGTATGAGCTCAAGCCGCCCCAGTGCCATGCGCTACCATCGCCAAACGCCGCTCATCTCTCACTCATCTTTTGATCGCTCGCATTCAAAAGTGACCTCGTTTGTTTCGAGCACGCGGTGACGAAAGAATGCGGGACAACAGTGGGCAATCATAAAGACGAAGCAGAAGTGGAAAGGAAGGATGGCAAGGGCGAAGGGAGAGGGAACTTAGCCGTATGGGGGTGCTTGCAGGACAGTGGCGTCAGGCTTCCAGGAGGCTCGCACACCGCTGTGACTGCCTGCCGTGCGTCATCCCACCGCCCTCCCTCCCCGCACCAAGCTGCCATAGCACTGGACGAGAGGGGTGGAGCAAAGGAGAGCAAAAGGAGCGAGCGGGGGAAAGGAACCCAAGGTAGTCAGTAGAAGCAAGAGGGAAGTGAAATGGATGGAAGGAGGCAGAGATAACAAGAACGAATGAGTAACGGAAAGAAAAGTTGAAGTTGAAAAGCACGTGGCACTGTGACGCTGTGAAAGGGGAGGCGATGGTAGCACACAGCACTAGGGCGGCGAGCTAGCAGGCAAGGGGGACGAGGTAAGGAAGGGACGCGCGCATGAGTATGGATGCATTCTACTCTACACCCCTATGACTCTAGTATGAGCTCAAGCCTTTCAAGTGCCATGTGCTACCATCGCCAAACGCCATTTAAAAACGACTCTTTGTTTTTCGAGCATGCATCGAGGAATTAGCACGGCACAAAAGTGAGCAATGATAAACACGGACCAGAAGCGGTAAAGATGAGAAGGGGAAAGTGTGAGGGGACTTAGCTGTATGAGGAGTGCTTCCACGCGACAGAAGCAGTGAAGCGAGGCAGCAGTCGTTCCAGCAGGATCCACTCTGCTGGCCACTTTGCAGCTCCGAATGAGCGTCCCTCGTAGCCCACTTTGCAGCTCCGGATGAGCGTCACTCGTTGCTGTTAATGTTATTCCGACCGGCCCTCGCATTCGTCTCTGTTATGGTCAGCGTTTTGCGTCTCGAAAAGCAGGGGTTCGATCGTCGCCGTGAGAAGTCACCATCGTGATCGTTACCGGCGGAAAGCGTCGCTTCAGGAGAAGGGTCAATTTGGTCACCGTGAGAAGCCGCACTCTTGATCGTCATCGTCAGAAGTCAACACCTTGGTCGTCGCTGTCGTCACCATCTCGATCGTTGCCGTCAGAAAGTGTCGCTTTGATCGTCAACGTAATTCGCAATCCTGATCGTCACCGTTGGAAAATGTCACTTCAATCGTCGCCGTCGAAGAAGCATCGCTTTGATAGTCACTGCGACAAATCGCAATCCTGGTCGTCACTTTCGGAAAGAGTCGCTTTAATCGTCACCGTGGAAAAGTGTCACTTCAATCGTAACCACTTGTAGTCAATATGTCGATCGTCACCGCTAGATATCGTCGGCTTGGTCGTCAGCGTCAGCACTAATCGTACTTCTCGTCACCGTCAGAAGCGGCCGTGACTGACTTACTGTCTCATCTATCACTGTTGGAGGTGGCCGTGTCGTTCGTCACCATCAAAACGCACCGTCTCAGTCACCACCATTAGATGGCGACGTCTCGCTATTCGAAGTCCGAGATACTCATTGCTGACCCCATAAGCTCATTCGGACAGCTGTCGCCGGCACGATATCAGCCTCGGTCATCACCAAATCGAACCGTTCTCGCTGCTGTAGAGCGGCGACGCCTCGCTACTTGAAGGAGCGTAAGGAGATCGGAAGAAGATTTCTGAGGAATCTCGGCAAACCATCTCTTTCCGCGCTCGTCAGATGTCTAGAATACTCGGTCTAAGTTCTTTTGAAATGCTGGAATAGAAATCAGAAGTGCAGTCAAGTGAGAGTAATGCGTCGATGACGGACATAAAACTGCTCCGAATGACTACAGCTTCTAAGCTTCGAATTTCTCTGCCCGACTAGATCAGACGTACAAGTCGAGATAAACATATCTGAGGATTACGAGGTCTAAGACTATGATTGAGAACCATTAATGGCAGGTAACAAACAGCCATGGACGTCGGCTAAGCGAGCTTATCCTTACAGAATCCGTGAATGAACTGCTGTGAGGATGATGAGAAGGAATGGCATTCAGGGAAGCTGGAGAGAGGATTTCAGGAAAAGAGAAAGGCAACCATCAGTGAAAAAACTGTCGGGTTTAGTGGTGAAATCCAGGGTCTAGACGGATTCAGAGTGGTGAAGAAGATTTTACAGGGGCGAGGAGGATCCATTTCCCCTGCTCAGGTGCAGGCCGCCGCACCGTCGGCGGATGTACATTTTCGTGAGAGCGTTGTCGACGGGGATACCCGCTACGTTGGGGGAACATACGACTCGCGAGGTTCTGAGTTGAGCTTTGCGACGATATCCTCGAAATCTCCGCAGCACGGCGGTTCCGCAGCTCCGCCGTTTGCGCGGGAATCGCCTGTCAGAAGCGCAAGGTTCTGACACACTGCCCTGATGCCATGTGTCATGACCAAATGTGTTTGTGGACTCACAAAATTGCCGAAACATGTCTGTATCGGAAAAATGGCACCCGATACACCATTATACGTCATTCACCTACACCTGATCTATCCCATTCTGATGAATACATTTTTTGGGCTTGATTTCAGTTTTTCCACTTTCATAGGGGGAGGGGGGAGGGGCCTACTCTGGGGGGTGAAATGTTATGATAAGGGAATTCCTTCCTTTTGTGCCTAAAGCTACTAATACGGTAGCAAAAATATCAAGCATCGCATAGTTTTATGGTACATGCATCTTTTATCCATCTTACGTCTAGCAGGACGTTAGTACCAGTAGGTAGGTACACAAAGGCTGTCATGTCAACCAGTAACAACTCAAGAGTCACATGATTCGCCTAGCAAAAAGCAAGGTAGAAAGGAACAAATAAGGATGTTAAGGTATGCTAGATGTTATTTCGCTACACGGCCACGGAGCAACCGCGGAATGGAGCTATGAGAGCAACTCGTGCAAGCACAACAACACAAGTCAGGTACACCAGTGGTGGCACGGTGTGAGCGAGTGAAGAACAGGTAGAAAATAGGAAGGACTGGGGAGGGGAGGAGTGCAGAAGATAGGTGGCAAAAGGGAGGGGATCTAACAGAACAGGAATGAAATGGCAGGTATGGGAAGGTATGGAGAGACGGGTGATGCGGCGTGCGGCAAAGCACATGAGCACATGAGCACACAGCCCAAGGCAGCATGCAGCTGACCGTATGCTGCTGGTACCGCAACCAGCACAACACAGCTACTCATTTCCTCCCTCCTCTTCTTCCTCCTCATCCTCCTCATCCTCCTCGTCCTCCTCCTCACTCTCCTGCTGCCCGCCGTGCCCTTTCCCCCCCGTCTTCTTCCGCACAAACTGCCCCTTAACTCGTGGTCGCATCTCCGCCAGTCTCTTTCTGCTCACGTACCGAATCTTCTTCTCAAAGCACCGCTCCTTGCGCTTCTGCCTGAACTTGTTCAGAGCAGCCTCACGACGCTCATACCCTTCAACTCGCCTCTCCATCAACCCACCCCCGCCTGCACTCGTCCCTCCCCCTCCCACTGTGCTGACCATCCCTCCCCCCATTCCACCCATCCCTCCCATTGGCCCCATCCCCCCCATTCCCCCCATCCCTCCCATTCCTCCCAAACCTCCCATCCCTCCTGCTCCTCCCATGCCGCCCATCCCTCCTGCTGCTCCCCCAGCAGCAGCGTCAGCAGTAGAAGCGGGATTGAAGAGCATGGCAGCAGCAGACGGGTCAGGCCACGACGGGAAAGGCAGCGCTGGGTTGAATGCACCCATGCCACTCCCTCCCGCTGCCGCTGCCGCCACTGCAGCAGCAGCTGCTGCTCCTGGTGCTAGGAACTGCGCTGCTGCTGTCATTCCAGGGAATGGCAGGGAGGGAGGAATGGCTGGAGCGGCAGCAAGGGACGAGAGGAAGGAGAAGGGGTTTGCAGGAGGGATGGAGGACTGGGGAGGGAGAGTGGAGTGAGCATGGTTAGATGATGCAGCAGCTGCTGCGGCTGCAGCTGCAAGGGCTTCGGGAGGGAGGCGAGAGAAGGCTGCGGCAGCTGCTGCTGCTGCATCAGGAGGGAGGTGCGCGAACGTAGCTGCTGCTGCTGCCAGAGCATGCGAATGGTGAGACGGCCGATACTGCTGCTGCTGGGTCTGCTGCTGTTGTTGTAGCTGTTGCTGCTGCATTTGCTGCATGGCATTGCCGGCGGCCGCAGCTGCTAGTGATTGCACGATGGGGTGCTGTGGTGGCAGGCCCGATGCAGCAGCGGCTGCGGCAGCAGCAGCCGCAGCTACAGCAAGGTTGGAGGGAAGAGAGAGAGGTGGCACGGTGGGAGGTGAGAGGAAATCGGGCTGCTGTTGTTGTTGCTGCTGCTGTTGCTGTTGCTGTTGTTGCTGTTGCTGCTGCATTTGCTGGGTGGGGAAGCCGTGGTCGGGAGTGGTGTGGTTGGGTGGGGTGTGCTGTGCAGCTAAGGGGTCAGAGGGGGATTGCGTGTGAGCGTGGTGAGCAGATGGGTACGGAGAACGGTCACGCAGCGGCGCCGGTGGGAGCACGGTGGGACGCGGGAAGGCAGGTGTTGCTTGGCGTTGAGCTGTAGCAGTAGCAGCAGCTGCAGCCGCGGCAGTAGCTGCAGTGGCTGTAGCAGGAGTGGCAGCAGCAGTAGTGGGAGCAGCAGCAGTGGGAGCACACGGAGCAGAAGCAGCAGAGGGTGTAGCAGCAGGAGAGGGCGCAGGGGAGGGCGACTTGACACCCGGCCCAGACCCATGCTCCACGCGTGCAGCCCCAGACAACTGCCTCTTGTAACCCGCCAAGCTGCCCGCGCCTCCACGCAGGCTCGGCGCGCCAACGGGCAGGTTCGGTGATCTAGCGTGCAGGTTCGGAGCAGGAGCAGGCATGGCAGGCGGGGAGTGGGGCAGGGAGTGGGGGAGGTACCCCCTGAGGCCGCTGCGGTCGATCATGTGGTTCCAGAAGGCAGTGCTGTGTCCTGCCACCAGGTGGCCACTGCTGCCGCCACTCACGTCCACCTCTGCCCCCCCACTGTTTCTATCCTTGCCCTTTGACATGCTGTGTTCCTCGCCGTGCCCTGTGCCGTGTGCCGTGCTCTGCGCCATGCCATGAGCCCCCTGCGTCCCATCTCTGCCTGCCCTGCCTTCTCCTCCCACTAAAACCCCCGCCCCTTCCGCGCCCCCTCCCCTTCCCCCGCCACACAGCGCACCAGCAGCACGTTGCTGCGCCCCCCCCAGGCGCGCCTGCGGCGCGCCAGGGGTTGCAGGTGCGCGCGCTGGTGCGCGGGAGGCAGTCCGCGGAGGTGTGGCGCTGGCGGCGGGAGACGGGGGACTGCCCCTGCCCCGCCTCGCGGTTGCAGGGCTGCTCCTCCCCGCTGCCTCGCTGCCCTGCTGCTGCTGCAGTTGGCGGTGCTGCTGGTGCTGTTGCTGTTGCTGTTGCCTCTTCGCGTCACTCCCCACCCCCCTCCGTCCTGCCATCGCCTCACCACCTCCTCGTTTCAACGCAGAAGCCAGTTCCGCGCCCTTGGTCCCCGCGGCCTGCTCCCCACTCGCTGAACGACTCAGGGCAGCGCGAGCGGCGGTATGGGGGGCGCGCGCAGCAGCCGAAGCTGACGCGGGGAGGATGGGCGCGGCCGCAGTGGCTGGTGCAGCAGTGGTAGCAGCAGCGGCGGCTTGCGCGGCAGTAGGCGCGGGCGGGCTTTGGGATAGGCGGAATTCGGGAGGGCGGGCGGCGGAAGCGGAGGGGAGGATGGGCTGACTGATGGTGCGCATCGGGAGCGCGTGGTGCGCGGGGGAGTGTAGAGAGGGCGCAGATGGCGCAGAGGGGAGCGAGGGGGCTAGGCGGAAGGGAAGAAGGGGACTGGAGGGCGGGAGCAGAGTGGCAACAGCCGCGGAGCCAGGTGGCTGGGGGGAGGTGCGCGAGGGGAGCACGCGGGAGGCGTAGAGGGGCGGGGAGGGCTGGAGCGCAGATGCGCGGGTGGGGGAGGAGGGAGGGCGGGCGGAGGAAAAGAGAGGCGCGGAGGTTGGCTCGTGGGAGACTGCTCGGCGCAGCAGCATTTGGTTGGGCGGGGGGAGCAGGGGGTGCGCGGTGGGGGGGATGGCGGAAGACAAGGAGAGGCCTGCTGCTGCTGATGCACTCGCTGCAGCTGCAGCTGTAGCCGCAGTTGTCGCGGCAATGGCAGTTGTAGCGGCGAGAGTGGCGCGCGGAGGCGCAGACGCGACGGCGGCCACCGCGGAAGTGCAGAGCGCGAGGAGAGTGGCGGCAGCCGCCGGGGGCATGGCGGGGCGTGGGCGCTCGAGCGACGGATGAACGGGGTCTGGAGCTTCTACGGGGCCTCGGTCGGGCGGCAGACGGCGCGCAGACGCGCATGGCTCGTCCAACGGCAGTGCGACACGTGGCAGCATGAGCGAGAGCTCGAGCGCAGGCATTGTCTGCTGGAGTGGGCGCAGAAACGAGAAAGGGGGAGAACGGAAGAAGGGGAACGAGGGGAGAAGGAAAGGTCAGTAAGGGTATGTGGCGGAAAGAACAGCGCAGATGGCGGACAGAGGGGGGAAGGTGAGGGCAAGGCGGGGTGATACAAGGACCTCGAGAAGTCGAGGAAATCGAAGTGAAATTGGAGTGTACAGACGCGAACGCGCGCGTACCTGCGGCTGGCCCTCAACCTCCTCCCGCTCCGCCCTGTCCTGCGCGCCGAGCTTGCTCCTCCTCTCGTGCGCTCCAGCGCGCGCCGCTCCGCCACCTCCTGCGCCCCGCCCTCCCTGCGCTGCCACGTGGCGCCGCTTCAACGACTGCTCATGCGCGTCGCTGCTTTCCCTCTCCTCCCTTTCCTCCCCTCCCGCTGCTCCCGCCCCCGGCGAGTCGCGCGCTTCGAGCAGCATGAGCTCGCGTCGCTGCTGCCTGCCCTCCTCCGCCTCCGCCTCCTCTCGCTCCTGCCGCTCTAGTATCATCTCCTCTTCCTCCCCTTCCTCCACCGCTTTCTCCTCCTCTCCCTGCTCCGCCACTTGCGCCGCGCTGTTCCGCCATTTGCCGTCCCCCCTCACGCCCCAAGTGTCCGTTGTTTGTCTCTCTGCCTCCTTCCTCTTGTTTCGCCCCGCCCCGTTCCTTTCCTCTCCATCCTCCTCCGCTACCTCCTCCACTACCTCCTCTCTTTCATTCTGCAGCAAATCCTGCCCCTTCTGCTCCTTCTGTTGCTCCTGCCGTACCAGCTGCTGCCGCCTCTGCGCCTGCACCTGCTCCTGCTGCTGCTCCAACTCATGCAACTGCTGCTGCTGCTCCTGCTGCTCCTGCTGCTGCTGCAGGTGCTGCTGCTGCACGCTGCTGCGGCGTTTATCGTCCGTCTCTTCGGAGAAAAGGTCCGTGCTGCCGGTACCCGTGTTCGACTCGCTCGTATCCACGAATACTAAATCGTGCGCCACCTCGCTTGCGCTCACCGCCATCATGTGCCGCGGAACCTCCCCCAACCCCACCTGCGCGCACGACGGGAAGCGGGGCGGGCGCGGGCGCGCAGGGGCGGAGATTAGCATGAAAACGGACTCGCGAGGGCGCGCGAACAGCAAATTGGCGGCGCGAGTCGACAACAAGTCAACGGAGCGAATCAACATCCACTCAACGGGGCGAGTCAGTAATAATTCAACGGCGCGAGTCAACGACACGTCTGCCAGGGCGAAATCGAGGGAATCGGGGGCGGAGAGTGCTCACGGATCGGCGGCGGCGCCACATGTGCGTCCAGAGGTTGAGCAGCTCGTTGGTGCGCAGCGGCTTCACGAGGAAATCCGCGGCTCCGAGGCGCAGACACTTGACGACGATCGCCATCTCGTCGCGCGTCGACATCACTGCGCGTCGTGCGGGGAGACGCGCCACGAGAGGGACGGGCGGAGGAGAGGAAAGAAAAAGAACGGGGGGGAGGGGGAGGCAAGAAGAGAGGGAAAGAGGGAGAGAGGAAGACGAGAAGCGTATGAGAGCGAGGTTCGGCCAGGCGCCGAACGCCTCTGAGAACGAACCGAGCCGGCGAACAATTTCACAAGGCAATGAGTTGGAAAGATTAAGGTAGCGGCGGCGCGAGCCGACGGCAACGATTCGATCCAGAAGCGACAAGAGGGGAGTTGAAACAGAACTCAACAGCTGGGGAATAACGTGACGAGAAGCAAGGCCGGAACAAATCTGACTGACGTTAGCCGACCGACGTTATCCGACTGACGTTATCCAAAAGACGTTAACCAGCTTGCGTTAACGGACAGACGCTAGCCGCCGACGCAAGCGGACAGACCCTGGCCGAGAGAGTGTATCCGTGAAAGGCGCGGGGTAGCGGAGCACGTACTGACGATGGGGATGTTTTTGAGGCGCTCCTCGCGCATGATGATCTTGAGCATCTTGTACCCCTTGCCGTTCGGCAGCTCCACCTCCGCCAGAATCAAATCTATCGTGTCGCTCGCCGACCGCAGCAGCTGCAGCGCCAGTCGCGCATTCTCGACGGCCGTTACTGGAGAAAGGGGGAGCGGGGGTGGATGGGACGGAGAGAGTCAGCCACGCGACGATGTGAGAACGAGATATTTTGATGTGATTAGATACTACGGAATCGGTTGATCGAAGCAGGGAGATGAGTACTTGGTGCGTGTCACGTCCTGCTTCGAGAGAAAGCAACTAAGGTGATGAAGTCGTATTCTACGTAAAAACCGTCTGAGGAAGAAACCTTTTATGAGAAAATCGATTCGAGGCATTTCTCGCGAGGCGGACGCGGCCTCAAGAGAAGACTCTCAGGTGCTCACGCACCTCGGTACGAACAACGGCGAAGCAGCTCGAGAACATTTTGGCGTGACTCCGTGTCTTTATCCGACAGCAGGATGTGCACGTTGCTCCTCTGAAACGTTGCTACGTCGCATGGCCGGCGCTGCTCCTGGCCAGCAGATGGCACAGTGGCTCCCGACATGAATCCGGTATTTTATGATAAATACGGAAACTTGTTATCACGCTTTACGACGGACACTTAGCAACTAACGATATCCGTACCTACACTGTCATGATTCTATAACGCTTGGTGCAGGCTAAGTAGACATGGCAGAGCTAACGATCAACAAGAACGCAGTTCAGTGCTGTGAGTGGAACACTAGCAAGTGAGTGATCGTCTGAAGCTAAGACCAGAGCAGACTCACAAGAATGATGTGGGGAACGGAGGTTGAGCAGAAGAACGAGGAAAGCTGGGCAGTGAGGGAAGGATAGGGAAGATCGAATACGCACGGGAGAGTGGTTCGCACGAAGAACCACCGTGTGGAGGAGGCAGTCTGACAGCAACGCGACACAACAACCCTCGGGTTGCGGTGGCTGCCCCCCTTTGAAAAAAAATCTGAACCCGCGGATCTGTATCTCCTGGACGTTGGAAAAAGGGGAAGCTTTTTTTGTTCGGGAAGGTTGTCTTTTGCTGACACGTGGAGGAAGGAAGTGGACGCCGTGCGGAGAACTGGGCTTAGCCATTTCTCAAAGCTGCGTGTGACGTGGAAGCTAACGTTCCTTTGCCCTAACCTCAACCTCCACCAATCCGAGAAAATTGGTGGTCAGACGAGAAGTGCCTTTGAGAACTTTTTGTTATTTCTATTATGAATGCTCACAGTACTGTATTCCTCAATACAATGTTCTGTGCAAAATGAAAAGGCGGCTACGAAACCCGAACAACGGGTAGAAAATTCTATGATCGCGCACTTGACAATTGAGCTGTCAAACCCACAGAAACTGACTGTTGCATGACACGTGGAAGGAAACATGACAAGCCCTTGAACGGGACGTAAAATATCTAACGAACTTGTGGACCCCAAACCCCCACAAGTATCTTTATCCCTCTATCTTGCGGTCGACCGATTGTTTTCCGCCACAACTAGGATATTTTTTATGCCTCTGGATCGATTATGTGGCTTGAAGAGTTTCTTCCATCATCACCAGCCATGAATGCCGAATGGCTGAATTTAGGCTCTTGGCTCCGGTGGCTTGTCCTGGCTGTCCTACTGTTCAGCTCCTGCACGCGGATAGGCTGGGCAAGGCGAGCTAGCTTGTGCTACTACAGAGTGGTGCTGTGCCACTGAAGGGGTTGCATGTGATTCGGGAGGGAATGGTGGAGAAGTGGACGGGAGAAAATATCTGCACTTTTTGAAGAAAATATCTGGGACTTTTTGAGTAATGCTGGGAGCTGCGAAAGAAATATCTCAAGGGATAACGGGCAGCTTGTATGTCATGGTCCATGTGTCTGCGCCGTTCGAAATGAATGGTCGAGATGCTTCCGTAGCGGTTTGACATAGCTTTTCTGCAGCAAGGAGCGTGTGCAAGCGGGAAACGCCTGTCAGTGGCTGACGTGACGGATTACTGGTTCAGGAGTGGACAGAGCTAGGGTTTCATCCATCCCGAGTTGGGAAACCGCAGCTCCTCGTTGTCACCATTCTGCTTCTCTTCTCTTCGCTTCCCTTCTAGAAAGGTCATCAACCGCTCGGCATTCCCTGTGAACAGTAGTCTTCCTCATCAGGAGTTCCCTTCGGAACTCTTTTCAGCAACGTCTTCCCAGAGCAAACCCTTGCTCATCCGTAGTATCTATTTCCAGTTCTTTGTCTACTAGCGATTCGTCCCAGTTTTATTATCGCTTTCTTTTAACAAACCCATGATCACATCCGTGAGAAATATCAGCGATAATCTTGCAGGTGTTGGCCCTACCGTTAGCAGATTCTTATCGGTTTCTCCGTAGATGCCTTACGTAGGCTCCATGGTTGGCCACCGCCTATTTAAATACAAGCTTAAGTTGTTCTGGGCCGAGATTTCACGCCATTTCGATCCAGGTCGGCTCGATTCACCGTAGGCTGAAGCTTCGCACGGTAGTAGCGGTAATTTCGGCAGCTTGAAATCGGTTGCGCTTGATCTGTATTGCGAAGTCTCCACTTCCTAGTGATTAGCGACAGTTACGTCTACGCATCAGTGTCCCGAGTAGTGGTAAGAATCCGTCAGCCATTTCTACGCAGCATTTTTCAGGACGTAGTTGTGAAGCGGACAATTGCCTCCCCTTATCGCTAACGGTTACGCTAATGGAATGGTCGAGCGATTCAGACGACGAGTCCGGAATGAGCGGCTTCGGGCCTATTGGAGTGGGGGGGGCGGGCAGCAGCATTAGCAAGGACGGTGTAGCACCAACAGGGGACGGGAACAGCGACTTGGATGGAGTGAGACTGTTGCCGTCGTTCCTGCGAGGAGTTAGCGAGGAGAGTAGACGGACGATTGAGGGTCTTATGGCGGCGAAGCCGTGCGGGCTGATAGTGTCAGACGCTTTAGAACCCGACCATCCTATCATCTATGTGAATAGTGTGTTCGAGCGTTTGACGGGCTACACAGCGGAGGATATTCTTGGACGGAATTGGTACGCGCTTGCTGACGTCTTCTGTTGTTATTAAACTTGTCGTCTATCGCGACATGCCCTGTCGTCCTTCCGTTGCTCGTTTATTCCTTCGTGGCCACTAATCCTTGTCTGTAACCCTCGTTTTGCTCGTCTCTGTCGCAGTCGTTTCCTTCAGTATCGCGGAGCATTCGCGCAGCGACCGCACTCTCTCGTGAATCCCGCCACCGTCGCGCGGTTACGCCAGTGCATCGCAGAAGGCCGCGAATTTTGCGGGGAGATCCTCAATTTTCGCAAGGACGGCAGCGCCATCATGAATACCCTCTGCGTCGCGCCGATTCGCGGAAGCGACACCAGCGCAGTTACCCATTTCGTCGGAGTGCAGTCTTTCGCGGAAACCAACGTCGAGCTCGGCCCGTTGCCAGGCCCGCCGCACAAGGAGCCGCATCATCTGCCTATGTCGGGGGCGGCAGCCTCAGCCGCCGCCGCCGCCGCAGCCGCCGTGGTTGCCTCTCGTTGGCCACCCTCCAGACAGCCGGGACCGCTCTCCGACCGTTCTCCAGTCAATTTAGCCGTCGGCCCTTCCAGCCGTGCGGATCCCAGCGACGCCTCACCCGTCTCCGTACCCAGCACAAGTGCCGCTGCCCCTGGCTGTAGCAGCAGCAGCACAGCGTGGCCCGCGTGCTGCCTCCACGACCACGCGCCGTTCCCGGGGTTCGGGCGGAAATGCCCGCGGGAGGGGGAGGGCGGCGGGGGATGTATAGGGCCCGGGCGGAGTTACCCCAGCAGCAGCGATTGCGGTAGAACCAGGGGCAGCGGGAGCGGGAGCGGCAGGTGTAGCGGGCTGTTGCAAGTGAGCGACGAGGTGCTAGTGCAGCGAGTGATGTGCCACCTGGGTCCTAGAGACATCGCGTCTCTCGCCATGTCGTGCCGGCGGTTCCGCCAGCTTGCGGTCAGCCAGGACGTGTGGCAGCGCGCGTGCCAGCACGTGTGGGGTGTGGAGGCGACGGCGGCGGTGCAGGCGCAGGCGACGGTGGGGTGGAAGACGGAAGAGGAGGAGGCGGCGGAGGAGGTGGTGCGGCGAGGGCGGTACGCGTGGCACGGGAAGAGTAAGGTTGTGTTTGAGGGGGCTGTTGGTAGGGGAGTAGGGTTAGAAGGGGCGGGAGGGAAGCGGTTGAGTACGGTTGTGGGGCAGCAGCAACAACAGCAGCAGCAGCGGCAGCTGATAGAGAACCACCAGAAGCCGCAGTGGCTGCAGCGGGTCAAATGGGCGCAAATCGCGCGCGAAATGACGACGCTGGAAGCCGCCACGTGGCGCAAGGTGACCGTTAAGGGGTCGGTGGAGCCATCCCGGTGCAACTTCAGCGCGTGTGCGGTGGGCAGCAAGGTGGTGCTATTCGGCGGGGAGGGCGCAAACATGCAACCCCTTAACGACACCTTCGTTCTCGACCTCGCATCCGACATGCCCGAGTGGCGGCACGTCCCCGTCGCGGGCTCCGCGCCGCCCGGCCGCTGGGGGCACACGCTGTCGTGCGTGAACGGGTCCGGGCTGGTGGTGTTCGGCGGGTGCGGGCGCGAGGGGTTGCTGAACGACGCGTTTTTATTGGACTTGGACGACAAGCAACCCAAGTGGCGCGAGGTCGTTGTGGGGGAGGATGCCGGGAGCAGCAGCAGCGGTGCTGGCGCTGAGGATGGGGGGAATGGCGGGGCTGGCACGGCTGGCAGGGGGAGCGCCGGGGGGAATGGTGACCTGGGGGATGGGTTGGTTTTGAGAAACGGTGGGGACGCGCGGACAGCCGCGGAAGTAGCAGAAGATGGAGAGGGAGTTGTGAGACGGGGGCAGGGAGAGGCGGCGACCCAGGTGTCCGATACGAGACAAGACGGTCAGCCGCAGGGCAGCAGACAGCAGCAGAACCACCAACAGCAACAGCAGCAGCAGCAGCAGCAGCCGCACCAACGCCGGCAGCAGCAGCTGCAGGCAGTCGCGCAAGCAGCGCCCGCAGCGCCCGCACAGCCGCAGCGGCCGCACCCGCGGTCGTGGCACAGCTCATGCACCGTCGAGGGATCCAAGCTCGTCGTTTCCGGCGGCTGTACCGCCTCCGGCCGCCTGCTCTCCGACACGTTCCTTCTAGACCTCGCGCACAACCCGCCGTCGTGGAAGGAGATCCGCGTGGCGTGGGCGCCGCCCGCGCGCCTGGGGCACACGCTCTCCGCGCTGGGCGGGCGCAAGGTGCTCATGTTCGGGGGGCTCGCCACCAGCGGCGCGCTGCGCCTGCGGTCGAACGACGCGTTCACCATCGATCTTGCCGACGAGCATCCCAACTGGCAGACTGTTTCCCCCGACGCGCCGCTCCCGGGGGGAGGCGGCGGCGCCAATGGCAGCGGGGCAGGGGGCGGAGGGGGCACCGGCGGAACGCCAGGGGGAGCGTCGCCCCCGCCGAGGCTGGACCACGTGGCGTTTGCGCTGCCTGGGGGCCGGGTTCTGGTATTCGGGGGGTCTATTGCGGGGGTGAGCCCTACCCCCTCGCAGGTATACCTGCTAGACCCGGGGGAAGAGAAACCGAGGTGGCGGGAGCTGGCGTTTCCGGGGCAGCAGCCGCGGATAGCGTGGGGGCACAGCACGTGCGTGGTGGGGGGGACTAAGGCGGTGGTGCTGGGCGGGCAGACGGGCAAGGAGTGGGTGCTGAACGAACTGCACGAGCTCTCGCTGCTCAGTGCTGCTGCCATGACGCCCCCCGCGCGTGGTGTAAGGGACGAGGATGGCGGGGAGGCTGGGGGGGATGCGAGGCAGGAGGGGAATGCGGAGAGTGGTGATGCAGGGGGGATGCGGCGACTGGATGGTAGCAGCGGGGAGGGGAGGGCAGGAGAAGGCGCGCGTGTGAAGGAAGGGGCGGGGGAGGAGGGTGTGGTGGTGGCACAGGGGCATGTGGCGTCGGCGTCCAACCCAGGATAGCTTTTCTCTGTTAGCATAATAGTCTCGCCAGGTGCACGTGGCAGCAGCTGATTGGCAGGCCAATGGAATGCGCCATGGTGGAACGGGAGTGGTATTTGTAGCCCCAGTTGCAGCAGCAGCAGTAGGTGAAGCAGCACGCAGAGGAGGATTCAAGAGTGATGCAGTAGGAAGGCGGGAAGGTAGCGGGCATAGTGCAGCATGCTTGGTTGGATGGTGGTTGGACGGTGGTTGGATGGGCTGCAGTGGTGCTTGATAATCGTGGAGGAAGGTGGTTCACCGCAGCCGAGCGCACTGGCTGCAGTTTTGTCTCACATGTAGCCGAGACAAGGCACACATGCAAGCAGACAGGCAGAAGAACCCAGGCTTTGTAGCGTCTGATCAACTTTCTAGTTATGATTTTTGCTGCGACATGAACCAATGGCTGGCTGGTAGCACTAGTTTCATATACCGTAATCCCCCGGATATAAAGCCCGCCGATTTAAAGCCCCCATGGGTGGTTTATGCGGGGAGGATTTTCTATTTCGGAATCCGCAATACAACACCCCCTTTTTTGCCTTACTAACAGAGCACCCCCCCCCTTGTGACCCTAGTGAGTGTAGCTTAAAACTGTTTGTTAATTACTCGAACACAGGAGCTACCATTCACGAGTTACTGTACGAACAGTTACATTCGTGTGGCTCTGTACATTCGTGTGGCTCGTGTGGCTCTGTACAAAGCGGCTCCCCAACGTGTGACAATTGGGTGCGTTTGACCACATGCGCCTGTGTTTGGGTGCATGTTCTCGTCACGTTCTGTCTCAGCTCGCCAACGTGCATCTCTTGACGCGCTTGACCTTGCACAATCTGACCAATCACATTTCTTATATTCACCCATGTTCTTGAACCCAGGTCGATCGAGCCAACCCACGTAAACACAACCAATTTATAACCATTGGATAGCGGAAACAACACTGCATATTGCTAAACGTTTATAACATCTGACGCAAAATTACAGACCCGGGTGCAATACGCTCATCCCGCAATAGTGCACCCACCCCCTCATTTTCAGGGCGTACTAACACAACACCCGGGGTCGTGTATCCGGGGGATTACGGTAAGTTGCTGCACAGCTGTCCATTCCCTTTCACTGTGTCAAGTACAGTGACCCTTACAGTATTTGTGCTGCTCTTTCAGTGAACTGACTGCTTTGCTCAGGTGAAAATAAATTACGGTAAGAATTACACGCCTTTTTATTACATACACAAAAGAGCATCTATGGCACTAACTGGCCTGTGTTATGTCAGGTGGAGGATTTTAACGCAACAGCATTGATACATCTTCACTACGAATCAGCATTGGGCGGCCTAACCTTGGATGTATGCACCACAAGGGGATTCTTCTCCAACTCCTCAGCCATGGAGCGGAACACGCCTCTCAGAAACACATTGAACTCTGCTCGCTCCACCGACCCCGACCGGTCAAGGTCCGCCTTGAGAAAGAATTTCTCGTATACCTCCTCAGCATTGCGTGCGTTGTGGGGGGGCAGGCCCCACAGCATGCCCGACCGAGCCAGCCCTGCACTGATGTCAGCGCGCGACAGGCAGCGCTTTTGGGACACGTCCCACGAGTTGAATGTGTCCTCGCACACCTTCTGGAAGAGCCGTCGGTCGCCCAGGATCTGCAGGGAGGGGACAAGGTGGTGAGAGAGGGAGGGCGGGGTGAGGAGGAGTGAAAGGGAGTGGAGGGGGGAGAGGCAGCGCTTTCGGGACATGTCCCATGAGTTGAAGGTGTTCTCAGACCTTCTAGAAGAGCCGCTGGCCGCCCAGAATCAGCAGGGGAGAGGGGGGGAAGGGGCAAAGGGTGTGAGTGGGGAGTGGGATAGAGGGGAGAGGGCGTGGGGGGAAAGGGTGAGGGTGGAGAGGAACAGATGGAGAGGGGAGAAAGGGGAAAGAGAAAGGGGAGAAGGGGGAGAGGAGTGGGGAGAGAAGGGGAGTGGGGGGAGGGTGAGGAGAGGGGTGTTGTGGGGGCGAGGTGGCAAGTGTGAGTGGAAGAGAGGGGAGTGGAAGAGAGGGGAGTGGCAGTTATCTGTGCCGTGGTTGCTCGTACTAGAGGCGTGCAAATCTCTCCAGCCCTCCCAAGGCTATTCCTTTATCCCCTCTCCCCCCCTTCCCCTTCCCTTCCCCTCGTTTTCCCTCCCATTTATCCCTGGCGCAGCTTGTTGCCGTGCAGCACCTGCCCTTCTCCTCGCATCCGGCACATCACCTGTTTACCCGTGTCGTTACCCTGCCCCACCTCACTACCCTCCCCTCCCCTCCCCCCCACCCCACCTGGCGCAGCTTGCTGCCGTCCAGCACCTGCCCCTCCTCCTCCTCCTCTGGTTTCGCTGCCAGTCTCCCTGCCAGATCACACACCGTGGCCTGCAGGGGTGAAGGGGACACGGGAGGGAGGCAGTGAGTGGGAGGAAGGGTGGGAGGGCGATGGAGTGTGGAGGGTGGAGTGGGGGGGTGGGTACGGCAATACCCCACAAAAGCCTTCACAAACTTCCCTAACACAAGCCTCCCACACACAAGCCTCTCCACAAACTTCCCCCACATAAACCTCCCCCACACGAGCACGCACGCGCATGAAGGAGGTGAAGTGCTCTCGTGAGAGGTCCAGACGGCCCAGCCTTCCCCACACAAGCGCCCCCCCATACATTCTGCCGTCCACAACAGGTCCTTCCCCCACCCTACAAGCACGCACGCGCATGAAGGCAGTGAACTGCTCTCGTGAGAGGTCCAGACGCCCCTTGCCGTGCGTCATCACCAGCCGTGCCACCACACTCTCCGTTGAGGCGCTCCCTGCATACCACACAGAGGAAGGGAGAGGGAGGGAGATGGAGGATTGATGTGCGGTTAAGAGGGGTGTGTGGGGAGGTGAGGCAGAGAGATCCAGGTGGCCCTTGCCGTGCGTCATCACCAGCTGTGCCACCACACTCTCCGTTGAGGCGCTCCCTGCACCGTGGCAAGAGAATGAGAGATGGATAATGAGAGGTGATGTGCGGTGGGGGGGTTTGGGGGTCCGTCTACCAAACAGACCTTGCCGTGCGTCATCACCAGCTACATGGGCCTGAGCTCCGCAGAGGACATGGTACCGCTGCCGTCGGTGTCAAGGCTGGCAAAGAGCAGGTTGATGAGCGATGGGTGCACACGCACACACGTGGGTGTGGCAGCACTGATGGGTGTGGCAGCACTGATGGGTGTGGCAGCACTGATGGGTGTGGCAGCACTCACGGGAAAGGGAGTGCAGCCCCATGTTCTGAACCATGTTGGAAAGAGCAGGTTTGAGCTCCGTAGAGGAGATGGTGCCGCTGCCATCGGTGTCAAGACTGGCGAAGAGCAGGTCGATGAGTGTCGCCAGCTCGCCCTCCTCCTCCATCAGCCGCTGCATCTTCGCCCCGTCCGCCATGAACTGCAGTATGGGGTCGTCTGGGGAAGGGACGGCAAGGAATGGTGGGAATGGGGAGGAGGGGATGTTGAGGCGCCTCAACAGCACCCGCTTCATCTTGGCCCCGCCCGCCATGAGCTGCAGTATGGGGTTGTGTGGGTGCCTTCCCACCCACCCAACCCCGCATCCACACACCCATGCAGCCGCCCTCTCCCCACCACACTTCATGCACGCACGGCGTCCGCCCTGCACTGCTGTCTGCACGCGCATCACGCGGACATGCTAACACGCTCAACCCGCGCACCCACTCTCCCCTCTTCCCACGCACCATGCTGGGCGTCCGCCCTGCACTGCTGCTTTGAAGCGCCTCATGGCATCCATGGGAAGGGGTGGCAGGTGATGGGCCCACCCCATCCACCCACCATCCACCCACCATCCACCCACTATCCACCCACCATCCACCCACCATCCACCCACTATCCACCACCATCCACCCACCATCCACCCACCATCCACCCACTATCCACCCACCATCCACCCACTATCCACCCACTATCCACCCACCATCCACCCACCATCCACCCACCATCCACCCACCATCCACCCACCATCCACCCACCATCCACCCACCATCCACCCACCATCCACCCACCATCCACCCACCATCCACCCACCATCCACCCACCATCCACCCACCATCCACCCACCATCCACCCACCATCCACCCACCATCCACCCACCATCCACCCACCATCCACCCACCATCATGTGTTGCAGCATGCGCATCATTGCTTCCACGAACTCCTCACACGCCCACACGCCCATCCCCATACCCACACACCCTCCCCCCCATCCACCCACCGTGCTGCGCGTCCGCCATGCGTTGCAGCACGCGCATCATCGCCTCCACGAACTCCTCGCACGCCACCTCCTGCTCCTCCTGCTCTGCGCTCTCCCAATCATCATCATCCCCACCGGTGTCCCGCGCAGGCTCCCTATCATCCCCAGCGGGCTCTCTACCGCTTGCTCTGCGCGCCGATTCAAACACCCCCTCCCCTCGCCGCTCCCCCTCCCCCCGTCTCTCCGCCTCCCCCGCGTTCCCCGCCGAGAACGTCCGTCTAGGCGACGGCAGCGCGGTCGTCTGCTCCACGTGCTTTTCAGGCGCCTGAAAAGACGTCCTCCTAGGCGACGGTAGCACGGTCGTCTGTTCCACGTGCGCCACCACCGCGCGCACCGCCTCGCGCGGAACCCTCCCCCGCCCGCCCTTGTCCATCTCGCGGAACCTCTCCTCCAGAAACCTCCGCACGCGCTGCCCGCCGCCCTCCTCCCGCAGCAGCGCGAGCAGCTTCGGCCCGTCAAACGCTTCCCCGCTGGAGGGGCCAGATTCTTTCGGCCGTACGGACGACTCGAGCACGAGAGGCGTCTCGTCTAGCTGCAGTTGCATGCCGATGAAGAGCGAGCGCAGCAGCGTGCGAAACTCGCCCTTGTCCACGCACCCGTCCAGATTCACGTCCGCGGACAGAAACAGCGACGTGTAGACCTTGTCTGCTTCCGCCGCGTCGGGCGGAGGCAGGCCGTAGGCGAGGCCGAGCTTGCGGAAGCCCGCGATGGCGTCGCTGCACACGAGGAAGCCCTTGTTGGCGCCGCCCCAGTCGTCAAACATTGCGTCTGACACGGCCGTGAAAAACTCGTCGTCGCTCAGAATCTGGATCCATGGAGGGGAACAGGGGGCAGGCAGGGGAAAGGGAGGGGTAGGGAGGGGAAGGGGAGGAAGGAGGGGTTGAAGTGACGGTGGGCAAGCACAGTAATGCAACAAGGGGAGGTGGCCCGACCTTTGAGTCGATTAACGACTCTTCTCATTCTCATCACGCGCGGCATTGCAGGCGCGATACAGGGCTCTGCACTCGTTACCATCACGCGCGATGCGTTGCGCGATTCGCACCTTTTTTATGTACGCGCCGTTGAGAACGGTAGCGCGCTGCGGCAGGTAGAGCGGCGCGGCCTCGAGCTCGGAGGAGAGGTCTTTAAAGACGTCCAGCAGCAGCGCCGAGAACTCCTCGCGGCACAGCTCCCCGTCGCCGTCCACGCAATAGTGGTCGATTATGCGCTCTAGTACCTGCTCCGTGTGCTCGCGCGCTGGTCAGGGGAGGGGGAGCGACGGGGGGGAGGGGGGCGGGGGGAAGAGGAGGGGGCAACGGCGGGTTCACGTGGGGTGCGCGGCCGCGCAGAGTTGCAGAAAGGCTTGAATTCAATCAAATCTCCGGCTTTCTTTTTTTCTTCTTTTTATTTATTATTTATTATTTTTTTTCGAGAATGTGGCTAACAATTGGACCCAAAAAGGTTCCTCCTCCCAGCACCGTCGCAACCTTTCGCTCCCGCACAGTCGCGCGCAAAGCCCCTCTGGCATCCTTTCTGCGCGCGGCCGCCCCGCACCAGCCCCCATCGCGCATGCCCCTCGATCCACGATTCAGGGTGCCCAGCAGGAGCGGCACGAGCGGGTCTCACCTTCCCCCGTGGTGTTGTCGCCCTTGTGAAGCCCGAGGCGCACGAGCGCGGGGCGCAGCTCGCTCTTGCTGATGCACCCGCTGCCGTCCACGTCCAGCTCCGCGAACAGCGCCGAAATCAGCGCCTCCGCCTCCTCCACGCTGCCCAATACTCTCCGCAGTGCGCCCCCGTCGTAAACTAGCGTGGATAGCGGGTCCTCTGGGGGAGCGGGGAAGGTGAATGTGGGGAGGAATGAAGGGGAGAGGGGACGAATGAGGGGAAGGATGAGAGGGAGGCGAATTCCAAGTAGCGCGTCGCGCATATAGGTTGATTACTTGCGCTTACCTTCTAACGCATGGCTCGCGCCGCGAAGGATATCCTTGCAGACCCGGACAAACGAATCCCGCCCAATCTCTTCCGTGAGATCCGGCGACATAAACGACGCGAAAAGCCCCTCCACCAGTTCGTCAACCTCGCGTGCCGTCCCGGCCGGCGGCATCCCTAATAGCTCCCCGAGACGTAGTAGCGCCGGCTTTAACTCGCCCAGCGAGAGCGCGCCGTTACCGTCGGCGTCGAGACGGTCGAACTCGTGCGAGAGGAACGCCGAAAATGCCGCGTCGTCGTGCATCCGCCGTCGGATCGCCTTCCCGTCGAAGATCGCAAGACGGGGAGGGGCAGAGTCGGATGGTGAAGACCCCCCTTTGCGCGGGGACGGTGGGCGCCGCGGCTTGGCCGACGGACCGCGAGAGGGCTGGGAAGACGGTGCTTTTGCCAAGGAATGCGGCGGGGAAACCGCAGCCATGATTGCAAAGGCTGATTCCACGCCAATTTCTCGTGTTTTGATCCACTGGGCGGGCGCAAACGGCTAGAACCGCGGCGCGGACGTCACGGAAAGCTATTAGTATGATTCGGAACTTTGACAAGGAGGTCCTGACTCAACACGAACTTCTACTCAGGACTTCAAATTCGCTTCGAAGACCGTCGAGCCGCCGTGGGAATAGGGTGCGCAGGAACGGAAGCTCCAAGCTTCCAGCCGCGGAAGTAGTGTGTTGAAATAAGACCCGGACCAGCTGGGCTGAAAGTGGCGTGACGGATGTACTAATGGTACGATCTCCTCGAGGCCGACTCGTGCTGACGAGGTGCATTAGCATGCTGTCTAGTACGCCTGCCCAGACACGAGCAAGACGCTTTGTCATTGGTGCTGGGTTGGACTGCCAATTGTTTCAACAATCTCCTCCGCCTGCGGAACAAAGCTTCTCTGGTACCTTGTTGAAGTTCAACGCAACTAGTGTACAGTGGTAATTCGCTCGTGTGCGCTAGAACCATTGGCTCCTAGTGGGCGAAAGGGTGGTGGAGATTGTGCGGTTGTGGGCTGGTGGGCTTGGTTGGAAGTAGTGGTGACGACGGTACGGCGGTGGCAGATGCAGTTACCGCCCGTCGCGAAATTTGCGAATTATTACTCATGAACAATGAGTGGGCACCTGGGGGAATTTGACTTTTTATGAGGTGTTGACGAAAATCACACGGGGGATTTTTGCTTTTCGCGAGCTGTTGACGAAAGCCTCCCCAACGTACAAACACTCCCAGCCACGCCCCATGCCGCCAGAACAAGTCACAAGGTCTGGAGTGCTCGGCAGTTTTATCGGGACTGCAACTTTTCTGTTTACAGCGTTTCTTGCATGCCGTTCAGAAATGCACAACTTTCAGCGTGGTTAACTGCCTCCACGTGGTTACCATGTTTGTGTTGGGAGTTGGACGCGAAACTCACCTCTTCATACAATCACCAACGCAACTGCCCGACTATTTTCAGAACGACTGACCGAGTTGAGATAGCGGAAAGTGGAACTAGGAAAGGGGAATTCTGCAGCTACAGTTGAGTACAGTACTGGACATCGCTAGTTGAATTCCGAAGTTCACTGTGCCATCTACAGTAGAAGGCATGAAATTAACCACAGTCACAGCCTGTCAGTATGACGTGGTTTCGTGCAATTTAATTTATTTCAGATGGCTAGGCTTGTGGTTCGGTGAGATGTCAGATTTTACGGCATCTTTCGTGACACGGTATCCAATCACCGTTGACATCCATTCCCATGTTGCGAATGCCAACTTGCCACGCCACGAAATACTGTTCATTATTCGAAGTCTACACGACACAAGCAGCTCCGCTCGCATTCAGCACATACTGCTCTACGTCTGTGCACCACCATTCTCGTTACTAACAGCGGATATAAGTCACTCAGACATCCCATTGCCAGTTGACAAGCTCTTACCAGTATTGGTCTGGTGGATATGTAAGGTGGGCCTTACACAAATATTCACAGCTGGTATCCTCATACGATCTAAACATACATCCGCAGTATTTGTCAAACGCTGGTGGCAAACCAAAACCAGAAAAGTTTTCTACTCTTCATTCTCCTTGCCCTACCACACGCCCACCCCCTTCTCCCTTCATTCCCTCCCCCCCCCCCCCCCCTTCATTGTTCCACCACACCACATCCTCATCTGTCTCCATCACAGGCGGATTGCCTCCATCTTGCATCCTCCGCATCACAGTGCCACCTATGGGCGATGCAGCTAGTGCCCTCTATAGCCAATCGGGCACCTACAGCAGCGCCCACAGCACTGGCAGTACTCACCTCCTCCGCAACCCCTCCCTCCTCCACTCCCAGTCTCTGCTCCCCTGCCTGCCCGCTGCGGCTTGGGGGGCAGCAGAGCAATCGCTTTGCCTTTGCCCCGCTGCTCCCCTAACCTCTCCTCAATTCCGCCGTCATTCGTGCCAATGGACAGCGCTCCGGACCTGTTGCCTTGCCTTGGGCCGAGCCTGCTGCGGTGCATGCAGCCACAACGCCTTGCTTCGGCTGCTCTGCCATTCCTACCGCTGGTAGCATCACCATCACCATCATTCAAATCATCCTGTGTGGCTGATAGCACATACTGCGTGTCAAAACATGACGAAAAGGGTAACCGCATGCCTAAAAGGTTTCCCTCTCGTCTCCCTGCTGCTGCACCTGTCGCCGTCCATTCCCCACCGCAAACACTGTTCACTGATGCTACAGTGACAGCTGCGGCCGTAGCAAACCACTGGGGGGAGCAAACAGATGCAAGTGCAGACAAATCAAGCCACCCATCTAAACTCAAAGACCCAACACCGCTGCTCACACTAGCCCCCACTCCACTAGTCCTATTATTCCCAACGCCCCTTCCGCTACAGCTGCTACATAAACTGCTAATGCGTGCTGCAGCAGCCACTACAGCCGACGGCCTGCCGTGGCCGCACGCGCTACAGCCGTGGTACCCCCCCTGCCACATGGCCTCGTCCGCGTCTAATAGCCGATCGCCACGCCACCTGCACCTGCTGCCGCCCCCCCGGCCCGGAATTCGCGCACTGTTGCTGCTGCTTCCACCCGCGTTCCCGGACCTTTCCCGCAGCTTCGGAATCCGAAGCTCGTCTCCGCCTCCCCCGACCAGCGGGACAGCCTCGGAGAGCGAGTCAGAGCTACCGCCAGTCCTGTCATTTTCATCCTCGTCAGTGTCACTCTCTGTACTGTCTCTCGCACTATTACTATCACCCCTACGATCAGCCTCCTGACCATCAGCCTCGTTTGAAGCAGCTCCGTTAGAGGAACTAGCACCTGGCATGGCATCACACCCGTCACCCGCACCAGCAGCGCCCTCCTCCGCCTTCCCCTTTCCCTTTTCCCCTGCCCCGCCCCCCTCTTCTCCGTTTCTCCCCAGCCCCTCCAAAGCCCACGCCTTGCCTTCGGGCTGCCCGAGAAATTTTAGAAACCACCCGAACGGGCGCTCCTCCTCCCCGCGCCACAGCTTCCCCGCGCCCACCTGGCGGAACTTCTTCTCTAGCTCCGCGTGCAGCACCTCTAGAATCGCCACCTTTTCCGACACCACCATCTGCGCCTCGACCAGCTTCAGGTGCACGTTGTGCTCGCGCCAGTTGTCCGCGCGCGCGAGTTGCGCGCGCTCCAGCGTGATTTCCTCCAGCAGCTGCCTCCGCGCGAGTTCCGCCGCCACCGCCAGGCGTTCCGCCAGCTCGCGCCGCTCGCGCTCATCCGCGGTCTCGCGGCGGGAGGAGAGCAGCGCGTTGTTGAGTTTCGCGCAGGCCTGCCCGAGGCGCTCTTTCTCCATGCGCTCGCGCACGAAATCCAGACCCGCCTTCGCCACTACCGCCTGCATCTCCGCCACTTCCGCCTTGGCGTCCGCCAACTCCCCGCGCAGCTCCGTCAGCTCCGCCGACTGCTTCGCGAGCTGTTGAAGCAGCTTCGCGAACGTCTGCGAAGCCGTTAGCGAAGCCATGTTGACGACGGCGGACGACGGCGGGCGCGGGTGGGGAATCGGTTGGGCGGCTTGGGGCGGGGCAAAGGAGAAAGGGGGGAAGGCGGAGGGCGCGGAGGGGGAGCTGGGCGGGGAGACGGTGGAGCGGGAGGAGGCGGCGGCGGCGGAGGAGAGCGTGGGGCTGGTTCCGCCGGAAAAGGTGGTGGCGGTGGTGCTGGTGACCGAAGAGGCGGAGGGGAAGGGCACGTGCGAAAGCGCGAGCAGCGCAAGCGGGTTGAGGTTCGGGGGAGGGGAGGGGGAAGGGGCCCTTGGGGGAGCGGACGACGACTCACTCCCAGTATCGTCCTCCTCCCCCTCGTCACCTTCTTCGCTCTCCTCGCTCTCCTCACTTTCCTCGCTCTCTCCTCCTCTATCCTCTCCATCATCTACCGAGTTTCCTTCTACCGAGCTATCCGTTATCGCATCCTTCCCTACACGCGCCTCCTCGTCCTGCTCCCGCCCTTGCCCTTCGTGCCCCTCTCGTCCAACTCGGCCTTCGTGCCGCTCTTGCTGCTCGCCGCCACGCCCCACATCCTCCGCTGTATGAATCCCCTCGCTAACCCCATCGCATACACGAGCTCCGGAATCGTCGGTTCTTGTTTCACATGTGCCATCTTCTCCGAAACTCCCTTCTCCGCTACTACCTTCACCAAATGTACCTTCCCTGTGATTGGTTTCACCATTTCTACCTTCTTCGGTCCGGCTTCCCTGAGATCTCGCGCAACTTTCGTTTTCGCCAATCCTTTCCCGATCTTCGCCTTCACCGCACGTTACTCCACCGTTCGATTCCGCTTCTGCGGCCGGAACGCCACCTTCGCTGCCTCCCTCGCATCTGGCCTCTCTCGGGCTCGACCTCCCCGTTACAATCAAAAGCGACAACTCATACGCTCCTGCGACATCGCTTCTGTCGCAACTGTCACACGCAGGAATCGCGTCGCTAGTCGCAGAGGTATTGAAAGTCGTTAAGGAGGTCGGCGGTGTCGCAGGGCGAACGTC